TGAGAAAAAGCAGAGAGAGCAGAGCAGAGTGGGAGAATAGAGATAGAATGAAGCAGAATGAGGAAAAGGGCTCCCTATGTCCTCCAGCTTCCAGTTATTTCAAAAACATCTTTTTCCAAACACAGCAGCAGTTTACCATAGAAAGGTTTCAGTAACACTTTACCTACTCTCAGGTGAACTGTTCAGCATGAAGGAATGTTCTGAACGTCCTATTCTAATAAAAAAAAACATGGCTACTGTAAACATACCTCAACACTCAGTGTCTGGTGTTTTAGTTCCAAAAAGTGAATGGTAAATGGCCTGTACTTGTATAGCAGGAGACTTCAAAGCGCTTTACATTCAGTTATTCACCCATTCACTGATGGTGGAAAGGTACATTGTAGCCACAGCTGCCCTGGGGCTCAAACCCCTACACCCAACGCCACTGGCACCCTTGAAGAGCGTTTGGATGTCTGTGGAGTTTCTTCCTCCTGACCTGCTGCAACAGTCAGGGATGTGTTCCATTTTTTATTTGCTGTCAGCTTCCAGCGCCTCCTCACCGGGACAGAGCTTCGTAGAGCGGCAGATTTTATAGAAGGGAAATTGAATTTTCAGGGGTCTTGTCCTGTTAGACCATCCATCCTCTTCAAGATGTCACATCAACCTGAGATGGCGACTCACATTTTATCTGCCCCCCTCATAAAGAGGCATAAAAATTTTACTTTTAACAGGATGAGGATTAATGACATCGGGGGGGGGGGGGGTCACATAGATTTCCTCTTTCTCTAACCTAGCCAATGGAAACAGATTCAAATATTTATGCTGCTGGGTTGCAGGCTTCTTCATCAGGCCTTTAAAGCCGCATCATAAGCTGGAGACTGACGCTCTAAGTCTGTATTATTCAATTCTATAACTTATGTTATTGGCACGTTCTCAAACTCCTCTGGAACATAAGAGAAACTTTTCCAATGGTTTGAGATGAAGACATTTGAAATGTTCTCCTGCAAACACTGCAAAAACGATCTAGAAATAAGTAAAAATTTATTAAATTAAGTGTATTTACACTTAATTTGAGTAGGTAAATATGGGGATTTGCCAATAAAATTAGTATCTTTACTCTTAAAATAAGATAATTAGATAATATAAACATGAAATAAGATAATGCAATTGCTTTCTTTTATTTTAAATGTAAATTGTGTTGTTCCATTGGCAAAGTCTCTCACTTTTGTCCTCAATTGGAGAAAAAATGCACTTACTTTAAGAAAAAATAACTTACTTAGATTTCCATTTTTTGCAGTGAAGACATGACTTTAATCTAGGACTGCAACGATTATTTTGCAACTCGATTAATTTTTCATTTATTTTTTTTATTAATAATCAGATAGGCAGATTTTAAATTAAAAAATGGAAGATTTTTTTAAGAAATTAAACCAGGTGTAACTAAAACTTCTCCTTTAATTCAATTCAATTCAGTTTATTTATATAGCGCCAAATTCACAACACATGTCATCTCAAGGCACTTTACAGTTCAACCAGATCATCCAGTCAAATTGATACAAAGTTTTCTATCTAAGGAAAACCAGTTGATTGCATTGACTCATTGACTCAAATACAATCCCCCACACTAAGCATGCTTGTAGCGACAGTGGAGAGGAAAAACTCCCTTTTAACAGGAAGAAACCTCCAGCAGAACCAGGCTCAGTGTGAGCGGCCATCTGCCGAGGCCGACTGGGGTTCAAGGAGACAGAAACAGAGATACAAAAAGCAGCTGTAAAAGGCGGCCCCGTCCAGGAAACACACAGCCAGGCAGACGAGCTCCAAGGCAGCTCCCATGCCAGAGGACGAAGAGAGCACATCCACTCAGTCACGGCCAGAGAAACAGGACCACACTGGAAAACAGGCCGATCTCCAACATCTATAAACAAGGGTGTTGATGGAAGCAGCACAGCTGATGTTTCTTTCCAGGATGACGTCACAGCCAAACAAGGATTTAAGACTTTAAGGATGTCTGGGTAGAACAGATTGACAGATGAAAAAATTTTTTTATCTTAAATGCAAAATGTTTATATATTTTTACAATCTTGGTATAATTCTTACGCTAAGTGGGTCACTCTGTCAGCTAAAGGCAGGTTTTACAGTCACTATTCTCCAGTTAACCATTAATCGATTACTAAATTATTTCCATAATAGATTAATCTGACTAATTGTTTCAGACCTACTTTAATTCCTCCAGTAGCTGATGAATATTAAAATCAAAGATTACGTGTTCATTGCTGTATGATTTGCCTTTGCTGCATGTCTGGGTTTGTGGGTTCCCTCTTCTTGCTCAGCTCTGGTCTTTTCTGAACATTTTCCTCATGATAAACAAGAGCCTGGAGGTGTGTGGTAACATGATTTAGAGACAGAATCTGCTCTGTCAGTTAGTTTCCTGCAGCTCTGAGGTCTAAAGTCAGCGTGGCCTCTGGCCGGCTCAGGTGCCAGCAGGCAGCGAATGGACAGAACAGCAGGTGGCGTTAGTTCTGCTCGAGGCAGCGTCTGGAAGACCGCTCATTTAAGGCGGGTAAAACTATTCTGTGAAGGCACTTTTAATAGAAATCAGAGAACAGAGTCTTTGAGCAAATTATCGTTTTAACGTTAAGGTTTGATGGAAGATGAAACATTTGGATTCTCTTCTTTCCATTTTCAGCCATTTTTCTGTGTTATGGATCACTGTCCTGCTAACGGCTCAGTTTGGGCGTCAGCTGTCAGACTGATGGTCTTACATTTGATAGGAAGTGTTGGTTTAGAGCCCAACTCAACCACTGCTAGGCACAAATCAACTGTTTGCAACTTTGCCACTTTGTCAGAATCAGTATCATGTTATTTGCCAAATAGGTTTGCACTTAAAAGGAATTTCCCTTGGTGGTGATGGTGTCTCTGGGCCTTGTTGATAAGGCGGGTAGCGGGTGGGAAGAAACTGTTCTTGTGGTGTGAGATTTTGCTCCTAATTGACTGCAGCCTCCTGCCAAAGGGAAGTGACTGACATAGTTTGTGGCTGGGTGTAAGGGATCAGCCACAATCTTCCCAGCAAGCCTCAGAGTCCTGGAGGCGTATAAAACCTGGAGAGACGGAAGATTGCAGCCAATCACCTTCTCTGCAGACCAGATGACCCGCTTCAGTCCTCCCTTATCCTTGGCTGTGGCTGAGACTTTTCAGACCCTGTTACCCATTAAAAATGCAACTAGTAAGAAATCCAGTGATTTTTTTTTTTTTTTTTTTGTCTTTGTGGTTGGAGACTTTTGGCAACAACACTGAAACACCAATTGCTCTGAGCTTGCTGCCTTCAGTGAACAGCGATTGCTGCTGTGATCTCCTTCATTCATAGAGAAGATCTCCCCTGGATTAAAAAGCAGGAGTTCGATCTAATATCAAACATAATCTCTTTTTTTTGTTATAAAATAGATCCTGCCCACTTAATTCATTCACAGCCTCCTCCACCATGTCTCTGCTAACTGTCTTTAAAGTGAATTAAATAACATTAGATTGATTTATGTTGTTATTTATTTAGGTAAGATATTATTAAAATCCTGGTTTTATTTTAAAGAGTTCCTTTTTAGTTTTAAACATATTTCAGATGTTTTAATCAAGTTATGTATGATGTTGATATTCCTCTCTCCTATGGCTGGATCAAACACCAATAAAATTTACTCTATTTTATAGATTGAGGAAACAAAATTTCCTAAATCTATACAATAGACTACCGTATATCTAGATGTAGATATAGATTGTTCTCTATACCTGTATGTGTGCAACCTTTTGTTTTCAGTTACCAACCAATATGTCCAGAAAACTGATGAGAATATTTTAAATGGCTTTTTATTTAGAAAAGTTTCAGATCCAAAATAACCTCTCTCAGGCTGAGGCAGTTGCTCCTCTGAGGTATTGCTGATGCCTTTCTGTCCTGGTGTTGGGAGCAGGAGGGATGTCTATAAAATAATCTATGATGGAGACTTTTTGAAAAATTGGGTTTTAGATGATTTCTGGACAAAAGCAAGATTTCAAGTTAAACCAAAAATAGAAACATCTGCTTTCTTTTGATTCTTTTTGTTTCTGTAATAAATTATACATTTATCTGTTAATTAAAGGCTTGTTTTTTATTGTTCTGTCTTTGCTTCCACCTGATTTCCTCCTTGGTTTATTAAATCAGTGAATTTGAGCTGTTAGTCAACACGAAGCGGTTGAGGCGAATCGTTATTGTCTCTCCTCCAGCCTGAAGGAGACGTGCTGGGAACAGGAATCGTTTCCATTTTCTGTCGCTGCAACAAGCAGATGTTCTTGTTTCTGACTGTTGGAGCGTGACCAGCTGGTTGCTGCAGCACATTAGTGTTAAACTGAAAGTGTCAGACTTTAAACACAACAGCTTCACAGATCATTGATTGTTACGAGTGAACCGGCGGGGGGGTTAAAGGGGGAATTTCTGCTTCAGATGCCCCCCCCACCAAAAACAACATGGGTGTGAAGCATCTCCTCCATCTCTGACTGATGATGTAACCCAAAGATGCTGCAGGTTTCATCAGGTTCTCTGATGGTCCAGAATTTTCTCCGTCCCAATCTGAGTCCATTAAACCATAACTTTTATTTAATAATTATTTGTAGACAACTTTTTACTTCTACTCCTTACATTTGAAAAATAAACTTGTTAGTTTTGTTTAATTTAAGCTCATGGTTCGAATCCCAGGACGCTGAGGCATGCAGGGAAGATTTTGGCTGATCCCTCGCACCCCAGCCACAATCTATTTTAGTCACTTCCTTCTGGCAGGAGGCTGCGGTCCATCAGGACCAGAACCTCACGCCACAAGAACAGTTTCCTCCAATCTGTTAACGGCTTTATTAACAAGGCCCAGAGACCCCCATGGCACAGACGCTGCATCTTCTACCTTCTACCAAAGTGTTTTTAAACCATAGGTTTTCTACTTCTACTGAAGTAATAAACATTAGTACCTCTGCTTGTGACTGATTCATGTTTGTGTTTTTCTCTGCAGGTGGAGCGGGAGATTGCCATTCTGAAACTCATCGAGCATCCCCACGTTCTAAAACTGCACGACGTCTATGAAAACAAGAAATACCTGTAAGTTCCTGTCATTTTTCTGCAGTTTATTGATCCAGTCCTAACACAGAGGAACACACCATATTAGACTAACCCACCAGTTTGTTTGGACATGTGAGTAAGCTGGCCACACTGGGAGAATATGGCAGCTGGATGTAGAAAGAGCTGCCAAGGTCCCGGAGCTCCCAGCTGCGTGTTTGACAGCGAACATGCTGCTCTGGGTTAGGAACCTCACTGTTCAATAACATCTCAATTCTTTGGGGCACGATTAAATTCAGTATTGATTTAAATGCTTCAATATTATCATTAGGGCTGAAATAATTAATCGGATTAATAGGATATTGAAATAGTCTTCAACTAATGTAGTAATTGATTGTTTACTTGAGTACATAGAGTGTAAAACATGCCTTTAGCTGACAGAGCGACCCACTTAGAGCAGGAATTATACCAAAATATAAAAAATATAAAAATAAAAAAAACATGAAAAATGTTGCATTCAAGATGAAAAACCTTTTTTTTTTCTCATCAATATTCTCCATCCAGAACTCCTCAAGTGGAAAAGTTGGTTTCATCTGGTTTAATTTAGTAAAAAATCTTCTTTAAGGAACATTTTCTTATCAGATTATTAACCGATTCATCTAAACAAACTCATAATAATTAGTTGGAGTCCTAATTATAGTTCTTTCTTTGTTGTGTTTATAACAATCAAAGTCGTTATTGATTAATTAATGCAGTAAAAGTGAATCTTATTTAGAAAATCTAAGGTTTATTACAGACCTTAAAATGTACATTTCTAAAAACCTTACCTGTGATAAGCTGTCAGCTGCTGATCATCTTGTTGGAAGAATGATTTTGTTTTGTAAAACCAGAGATAATGAAGATACTACAATGTTTTTAGGATATCCATCAATATAAATATGTGTTCAGTTATTACTAATAATTTAAATACTAAAATATGATTTTATAACAGGAACAATTTGCACATTTAGTTGCAGTTTATAGACTTCTGTTTGGATAAAATGTTTAGATTTGAGATTTAAGTTAAACGCTCCTCTAAAGCCTCTGGGAATTTTATTTTACAAGCATAATTCCTCATAAAATGATGATAAGTAATATGTATTAAAAACAGTGAGCATCTGCTTCATCAGATTGTTAAACACCTACAGAGTGTCTTCAGTCAGAAGCGTCTCCAGCTCCGGTGAAGTACAGACAGCTTCCTGCCTGCATATATTAACACCTAAAACAACTCAGTGATAAAATACTGGAATCATTTCTCTGATAAAGTATTTTTGAATTGAATCGAATTCCATTAAAAACCTTTTGTTAGTAGTTCAGGTCCTACAGGATCTTTTTATTCCTCCTCACTGAACCTGCATGTGCTCCAGTCAACAAGCCTCACAGTCTGATAATTAGAAAAGTAGAAAAACACAAAAGCCTCTTAACAGCGATTCTACATCGGTCCTAATGAAAAACTTCATCCATTAAAGGAAACCAGCAGATCTCTGAGGAACAGAGCTGAGTTTGTTAGCACAGAGAAGAAGATAATTCACATCCACTTTGAACAATTACTCCTCTTAAAATAAACGCTGATGCTGAAAATAATCTCTGGACTCGGGGACAAAGGTTACCTGGTTGTTTCTGACAGACTGACCCACTCTCAGCATCCATGTTTCACATTTCTAATAGTTACATTTAGAATTTCATTACCCTCCAACATCTTTATTCCACCGTATTTAGGATTCAAGTCTGAACGGGTCAGCTTTGAGCCAAGCAGCCTGAATGGAGCTGAGGACAGGTAGAGAAGGCTCCACAGAGCAAAGGGGGTGACCCTGAGGTTGACTGATACAGGACTTCCTCAGTCTCAACTAGGGGTGCAAATCTCACCTAGACAATGTTTCAAATGTGAAATAAATCAATGAAAGCTGTAATATTGTTATGCATTTTTTTTTTTTTAGAAACAACTGCAAATTACAGAAGTAGAAAACCTCTTTCACTGACAAATAATAATATCCCTGCGTTATAGATTCTGAAAGGCTTTGCATCGAAAAATACTGCACATAATCAGTGCAATGAGTGCAATTCAATACCTCCAGACGTCCCGCCCCCTCCACAGACGCTCCCAAATTGTAGCTGACCGCAGACAGCGCTGCAGACAGGAGGCCGGCTTGTTTTGTTATTAAGACCGAAATTGCGGAAAACAACCGCCTGGATCTCCGCTCTTTTTGGCCCTCATGTCCCTCCGTCGTCGGACTAAACTCGCCCCCACTTCCTCGCCGCCTCGGCCGTATCTAGACCCACAGCGTGTAGCACAGACCACGCTTCAATATTGAGCATAATTTAAAAATGTCTGCGTCAAGCTCACTGCAACACACTGCTGTAAGAGTATAACCAGGAAGCGAGGTAGGAGGGCAAAATAGGTTTAGCGCCACCGCAGCACGGGAGGGAGAATTACGCCCAGGAGCAAATGGATAAAAATAGACCGGAGGGAAAAAAAAAACATGAATCGATTCTCTTGCGGACGTATCGATGCATCGGATCGTCGGCCGCTGGATCGATGCATCGATACAAAACGATTATTATTTACACCCCTAGTCTCAAACTCCGCCCCACATTTACTTCTTCATTGGTGCCGTCCACCTTTAACTTCAACAAACCAGCTGGCCAGGGAGAACCGAGCTGCTAGAAGGCTCAGTGGTTCCTTCATTCAGACACAGTTTGCGTAGAAATCATCTTTTCCTTCTTCCAGATGCTGCCGAGCTACAGTTCTCCTTCAGACCTTCACTCAGTTAGCAGGTCTGGGTGTGGATCATTCCAATGAGTGCTGTCAAAGAAAATCATTATTTTTAGGCAGCAGAGAGAAACTTCCAGCATCATGATCACTCAGCAGACACCATTAGGCCTCTGTAGCTGCCCTCACAGACCAACTAAATGACTGCTGGAGAAATGGTTGATGGTCAAACCAGAGAATGAGCCTTTTGCTCACCATTAGCTGTGAGGGGTCTGCAGATGCAGCTACGGGGCCCCGTGTTGTTCCTCAGGCCCCTCATTGGGGCTCCGAGATCATCAAAAATGACAAATTGGTGCTTTCTGTACATATTTTTAATAAAAAAGACTCGCAAGCCATTCATTTTAGTCTTTAATTTAAAAAAAAAAAATGTGGAAGGCTAGAAAAAAATGCTTCTTTCTGTGTAATGGCTACTCTTTTATATATAAGCCAGAACATATAAATGGAGTTATGTTTTTTTAGTTTTTCCCTTAAACTATTCCGAATATTAGAGTTGGTGTTTATAAAACAGGCTGACATGTGCTGGGAAATATTGCTTAAAAATGCATCCCTACGAAAGTTAATATCAATAATTATTGATTATTCTCTTAGAAATAGAATTCAATTCAATTAAGTTTTATTTCACATCATGTCATCTCAAGGCACTTTATAAAGACAATTTAACAAACCTTCCATTCAGTTTGGTGAAACGTTTTCTATCTAAGGAAAACCAGCTGATTGCATCGACTCATTGACTCTCCAGCAATCCCTCACACCAAGCATGCTTGTAGAAACCAGTGAAAAAAAGCCAAATTTAGGTCGTAACCCTTTTAAACATAACCTTTAAGAAGAGCTCAGCTCCACCAGAAGCTTTGCTTAGCTTGGCCTTAGCAGAGACAGAGACCTCTCTCCCCGGCGTCCAATGAAAACATGTTAATTCAAACCAATCAGCATCATCACAAATCAAAATAGAGACGATCAACTCCAACATTATAAATACAAAACAACCAGTTCAAATACTTTAATAAGAAACTATGAAAAGAGAAAAAAAAAAAACACTCAATTAATTGACTCATGTAAATCATTTAAATGTTATTTTATTTGGAATAAATTGATAGTGATTATCAGAAGAAGTCCTTGATCCTTCCCATGAACCAGGCCAATAAACTTCACCTTAAAAGTACACCAGGAAGTAACGTATTTCTTTAAAATCATTAAATTTACACTAAATGGTGCAGCTTGAAGCTTCAGGGCCATTTAAAGACAGTAGAGATGAACAAGTGCGCCCCCACACCCTGTTCAATACGACAGGTATTAACCTAGCCTAATGAATGATCTACGGGTCGGGTCCCAAATGACCTGGTGTTTGACTGCAGCATTTTACCTTTGCAGCGGTTAGTGTTGAGATAATCGCAATCTAAAATCGCTATGCTATCTGTAAGGCATGGCGGGGGAAGTGTCATGGTTTGTATCTGATCTGCATCTTTGCTGCTCTTGGTTCCAATGAAAAACATGTTTGAACTCCTTGTTTATCTTAACCAGTTAAGTTTCAGACTTTTGAGAAGAATTAGTGGGAATGATTTTTAATGCCTCTAAGTGATAAAAGATCTGCAAACCTTAGAGTTCAAAGGATCAATGATCATTTAATGTTTAGCAGTAATGGAATTGTGCAGATAAAATGTCCTTTCTGTGAGGAGCGTTTAATAAAGATGAAGATGAGGAGTTTAACAGTTACATGAGGAGCAGTTTATTCGCTTGTTTTCTCATTAGAGCATGAATTGTTGCGCGTGTCTCCATCAGTCCAAACTGCCACCTTCAACAGCAGCTTTCCTGCTTGTCCTTCTTTTATTGAGCACATTAATCTGGTGCATGTTGCAGCTGCGCTCCAGCGGCTACGCTTAATGCTCTGCTCAATAATTGATAAAGCCGCCGCCGTCAAATGGAGCTGGAATTTGTTTTCTTAATGTTGGGAGGACGGCGACGGACGGACGGTCATCATGGATGCAAACTGAAATCCCCCTCACTCACAAATCACAGCCGGCTGCGACTCTAATTTAAACAGGCCTGACAGGTAAACGCTTCAACGGGTTCTCCTAATTTGCTAATAAATCAGGCGGCGAGGACGTGGAGGCCACGGGACGAGCTCACTGGAAGCACGAGGAGGGATCAGAGATGTTCCCAAGATAAATTGGCACCGCAGATGGATGAAACATTTTAAACCGCAAACACCGAAAGCTGCACAAGTCGGGGATTTTGTGAGATTTATGTTCTACATCAGTGTATGTTAGGGCCAGTAGTTTATGACTGAATTATTCGATCACTGCCTCCTACAGTTAGATGGACGATAAAACAATCTGAGCAGATAGGAAATGCTAAATTTAAATCTGTCTTTCATTAGAACATAGCTTTGAAAATCTATTTCATTTCCTACTGATTTTAGCAACATGCATTATTTTTGCAGTTTTAGCCTCAAAATTGAACATTTAAGATATATACTGTATCTAAAGAAATTTAAATATAGATGAGAATTTCAATTAGATGAATCAGATCAATTTCTTTGTTAGCTAATTTATGCAAAGCTGCCTCTGATTGTTGTTCAATAAGACTCATAACAAAAAAATGACAAAATAAACAAGAATAAAAGGCAAAAAATTATTGCAAATAACTGAAAAATATCTAACAACAGAAATTAAGGTAAATATATTGTCTTAAAACTTCTTAATATTCTGTGAAGTAAACGAAGCTGTAGAAGAAATAACAGGAGTATAAATCCCTCCATTAGTATCTGGAAGTTCGACAGTAAAACTTGCAGCTATTGATTATTATAGTGATTTGATTAATCTGATGAGCACTTTTATCATTTATTTATTAATCAGTTGATCCATTTTTTATTAGATTTTAATTCAGTTTATTTCCCATTCACAACACATGTCAAGGCTCTTTAAAATTCAACCAGATCATCCAGTCAAATTGGTTCAGTTTTCTGTCTAAGAAAAACCAGCTGATTGCATCGACTCATTGACTCTTCAGCAATCCCTCACAGTAAGCATGCTTGCAGCGACAGTGGAGAGGAAATCTCTCTTTAAACAGGAAGAAACCTCCAGCAGAACCAGGCTCAGTGTGAGCGGCCATCTGCTGAGGCCCACTGGGGTTCAAGGAGACAGAAGCAGACATAGAAAAAGAAGCATAGATACAAAAGGCAACTGCCAACCAGCTCCACAGGCGGCCCCGTCCAGGAAACACACAGCCAGGCAGACGAGCTCCGAGCCAGCTCCCATGTCAGAGGATGAAGAGAGCACATCCAGTTAGTCACAGTCAGAGAAACAGGACTACACTGGAAAACAGGCCAAGCTCCAACATCTAGAAACAAAGGTGTTGATGGCAGCAGCACAGCTGATATTTCTCTCCAGGATGGAGTCACAGCCAAACAGGAACAGACCAGATGAAGCTACTATGAGAAAAAGCAGAGAGAGCAGAACGTTAGAGATTGAACTAACAGATTCTGCAGAGTGGGAGAATAGAGATATGATGAAAAAGGGTTTCTATGTCATCAAGCAGTCTAAGCCTATAGCAGCATTTAAAAAATATGCATACATGTACAATTACATGTATGTATAATTTTTACACCAATGCATATATATATATATATAGGTAATGATGATTAGTTGATCATTATTTCATCAACCTTTCGTGGCCTATTTAGAGTTTTGTCCTGTGTGTGTAAACGCATTTTCAGGATAGACCTTTACAGATCACCTTAGTGAAGCAGCCAATCATTAACCAGGAAAGCTTATTAGGCTTATACGTTTAAATGAGTTTAAAGTTCATCAACCTACAAAAAATATCAAAACAAATTTGGAGAATATTTTAGGACAGCTGTCGCTGCACGCCCTGTAACGCCAGTCAATCGTTAGGTAATGATCCATCTGATAAGGTCTTTGTCCTTCTCTCCAGGTACCTGGTGCTAGAACATGTGTCCGGAGGTGAACTGTTCGACTACCTGGTGAAGAAAGGCCGGCTGACCCCCAAAGAAGCCAGAAAGTTCTTCAGACAGATCATCTCCGCTCTGGACTTCTGTCACAGCCACTCCATATGGTTCGTATCTCCAGACTCTGAGGTTTCTTGTTTTATCTGCTCATTTCGGCGCCACATCTGATAGAAAACCAGAACCAAGCCAGTGGAGCCTGTATGGTTCCTGATTGGCTTAAGAGATGCATGAAAAGATGCTGCTGCATCTGATTTATGGCCGCTGCCTGACCCCGCTGGTTGCCTGTTTAATCCGAACCTCCAACCGGATTCAAACTATTGATACTACAGACGCAGCTGTGGTGCTTCCTCCGAGTGGCAAAAAATAAAAATAAAAAACAAGAAAAGACTGCAGCAATGTTTAAAGAACCAAGGTTTTCTGTTTAGATTTGGGTCCTCTGTGAGGTTCTGACAGTAAATAGGAGCATCGGGTCCATATTCTGAGAATATGATGGCGCTGAGATAAAGTGATTGCTGGTCTCCTCTCCCCATCAGCAGGTAGCGGGGGGGCAGTGGCTCCTCTTGATCTCCTCTCATCGTTCCTCCTCTCGTGGCTGCAGCCCTCTCTATCTAAAAGCAATTGCACATCAAAGACACTCTGCTCCTGACTCTCAGCGTCCCACGTCAAGTGTTTGGCTTTGAAGGACTCCTTTTATTCCACACTCTGTTATTATTAGATTTATTTTTTTAGATGAATCACAGAGACACAGTTCTGGACTAAAGTTTACCACGTTTATGATCAGCAGCAGAACTTTATGCTGAAGGTTTCCAATGACGATATTCTTATTTCAAAATAAGAGCCTTTGGGTTAATTAATCCAAGTAAAGACTGCATCCCTGCAGCTGTCAGTCTAATCTAAGGCTTTGGTTTATCTATTTAAAGCTGTGAGAAAAGATCAGAGACACACATCTTTCAGAGCCTCTTAAAGGTGGAAAAAGAAAATTAGCTTATTTCTTCAGTTGTATTCATGTTTTTAATAGTTTCTAGAAAAGCAGAACTGAAAAATAGATCTGCAAAAGATCAGGAATAAAACAGTATTTGGTCAAAGGCTACTCAAGTACGGTAACTCATGAGTAACTGATCAAATCTGATTCAATTAGTGGTCAGACTTGATTAAAACATTTAATTGAATTCATTCTAGGGTCCATGATTAATCAATCACAGCTTAATCGAAAAACATATAAAAAAAATAACCTATTTAATTCAAATAACGTTTTTTGCTACGTAATTAAATTAAATAAACATTATATACATATAGAAAACATATTTTATAATTAACATACAGTATTGATTGTTTTAAATTATGAGCTTAATTTAAAGATATATTTATTTAGGTTTTGTAGAAACCCTGAATCTTTGAAAAACTACTAGAAACCTGACATGAACTACATGAACATTAATTTTAGCAGAATTCCTTCCTTTCATTATGGTCCAAGGGTATAAAATATGCCTTGAAGAGTTAAACTTTTGCTGTAAACAGAAGTAAAATTTCTATTTGTAAAACTGAAAACAGAGCTATGACAGCAGACGGATGCATAAAGCGTCACCTTTCAGAGCTTCACATTTGCTGTTTAAAATACAACATTTAAAGCAAAGACGCCACTGAGGCTAGTTTTTCTCCTTAAGCCCGATACTAAGACAAACATCCAGGGTTTAACCTATTTTACCAGGAAGTTGTTTTGTTTTTCAGATGTGGTATTACGTTGCTGTGAAGCTCGTCACCTGGTCCAGTGTGGGCTGGATGCAGCTGTGGACGTTGACATTAGTGCTGGGAACGTCTGTGCTGCTGCAAGAGCTTGAATACAATATTTTTAAGCTAGAATACAAACAGAGAACCAACGCCTGTGATGCTGGCGTGGTGCTCGTCATGGTGCTTTCAGGACGGCGCGGTGGCTGTGGGAAACGTGGTGGATTAACTTAGAATTCCTATGCAAACCACACAGTGAAGCGTCCAGCGGTGAATCCACCCTGTGAGAGCGTTCAATGCTCTTCCCTCACCTCAGGCTACTACACTGGAAAAATGATTTAGAAATCAGTAAAAACGTTTTAAATTAAGTGTATTTACCCTTAATTTGAGCAGGTAAATGAGATAGCTTGCAAATGGAATTAGTATTTTTACTCTTAAAATAAGATAATTAGAAAATATGCACTTGAAATAAGACGATGCAATTGTTTTTTCTTATTTTAAGTGTAAATAGTCTTTTTCCATTGGCAAAGTGTATCTTTTACCTCCTCAATCCAAGAACAAATTCACTTATTTTAAGAAAAAATGACTTGTCTAGATTTAGATTTTTTCCAGTGTAGATAGAACTGAGGTGTCAAACAGCAGCACCGCATGCAGACAGAGGAGCGGTGATCGCTAAAGAAACGAGTTAAACTTTTCTTTGTCATTTTGACACAGCAGTCGATCAGGGACTAATTGTAGGAGAAGCTTGGCGCAATTTAGCTTTGGTGCAGCACATCCAAATAAGGCACAAAAGAAAGAAAGAAGACGAGACGTCAAGAAAAATAAGGAAAAGTGTCAGAATGGGAAATTAAACATCATTCAGAATCGTGTTCCTTCTGTCAACCATTAGTTTCATCCTTGCTTTGGAAGCAGTAAATCTCTACCTGCTGAAATAAATTTTAATAAATAAGAATCGCTCACCGACCAGCTAAAGCTATCAGGCATCAAGCTGCCTGAAAAGTTAGGTAGAGGTTCTTCTGTGCAGAATCTCAGCCTTGCAGCACTCGCTGTGACTCAGTCAAAGGCTGCTTCTTGCTTCGCTTTCAGTCGATGAAAGAAGAACATCTGGGAGTTTGGGTGGATTGTTGGTGCGCAGAGAGTTGAGATTATATATCGCAGCTCATTTCTTCAGCCCTTTTCTTTGTAGCTAATGCAGCAGTGGGACACAGATGCTGCAGCTGTTTTTACTTCCTGATCACCGTCTCCTTGTCATCCTGCAGCCACAGAGATTTGAAGCCTGAGAACTTGTTGTTAGATGAGAAGAACAACATCAGGATAGCGGACTTTGGCATGGCGTCTCTGCAGGTCGGGGACAGTCTGCTGGAGACCAGCTGTGGGTGAGTAGCTGCTATCCTTTTTACTTCATTTCAGTCTTTTTATTTGTTTTCTCCTGTGTCTTCATTTTATGCTTTGCATCATCTTTACCAAATTCGAAAGATGAGGCAGCTTTAAAACACAGTGATTTTAGAAAACAAGAATTAAGAATTTCACCAGCACTACTGGCAAATAAGCTGCCCCACAGCATGACTCTACCAAACCATGCCTGAGAGTTAATGCTGTTTTTTTGGGCTTGAAAGCCTCACAGTTACTCCTCTGAACATCGTTCTGTCATCAGGTCCAAACAGCTCAGACGGAGACCTGGTGTTCCTTCATTTCTAGACAGTAGCAAACTTAGTGGGTTCTGCTTTGTTTTTTTAAGCATCCTAACCAGATTTCTTTAATCTATGAGAAACAATTTGTGTCAGATGATGGAAATGTGGACACAGTCGGGTGATCCAGTACAAATATGATGCTAATAAAACCTCCATGTTGGATGAAAAGGGGCAAACAACAAACGTCTGGAAATATTAGGGCTGCAACTAACAATTATTTTGCAAATCGATTAATCTGTAGATACGTTTTTCCAATTAATCGATAAATAATCGAAAAGCCAAAGTTTCCTCCAAGATGATTCTTTCACAGATTTAATCCAGGTGAAACTACTTTTCCACTTGAGGAGTTCTGGATAAAGCCTATTGAAAGAAAAAAAAACATTAAGTGCAAAATGTTTATATATTTTTTTTATTTGGTATAATTCCTGTTATAAGTGGGTCTCTCTGTCAGCTATAGGCATATTTTAGAGTCTCCATACTCCAGTTAATGATTAATCGATTACTAAATTAGTTGACGACTATTTCAATTATCAATTAATCTGATTATTTGTTTCAGCTTTAGCAAATATTCTTGCAAAACTCTTAGCTTAGTGTTTAAAATGTATGGACTGTTTTAGGAGATGCTGACTGTTTCAAATAAGCTCCACTGATTCTGCAGTATTATCATCCAGATATGACAAACAAACAGCCTGCAGAGTTCAGGCTGGTCTTTCATCTTCGCCTTCTATGGAGAACACCTTTGCCACATCCCCCAGTCTTCCCACAGTCACCATAAGCTCCCCTTCTACTCCACACTCCCAGACAGCAACAAATCAAACTTTATTTTCACCACTTTGGCTTCTTTAGGTTTTTCTCTTTTATTGTTCTTTTTTTCTATGCACTGATTTTTAAGCCCTTTGTTCACCATCATTGTGGATTTGGAAATTTTGTGCAACAAATAATTAAATGACAGAAGCTACAAAACGTGTGGCTGAGAAATGAATGTAATTATGTATATATATATATATATATATATATATATAAGTGTCAGTATTATTTTGATTCCTTGTGGATGAGAAATTCAAAAACAACTTGCATGAATTGAATGAATTGAATCTCCATCCAGCTTGCATGGCTGTGATGAGTGGATCAAACTGTAGAGCAGAGCTGTGTCTGTTGGGGAGGCCTCTGAAAGCCCTGCAGGATGATTGCAGGTCCAAAGGCTTCAGCTCTGCAGAGTTAGCGGCCGGCAGAGTCATGCATGCGGAACAGCTAAAGCCGTGCTACTCAGAAACGCCTGACAGAGCGAGGGAGATTACAGGTGCCGAGCCACAGTCCTCATTATCATTTAAACAATAGAGCTGGACACGCTGCTCCTTCTTTTATCGCCTGCTCACATTTTGTGATGCACATGTTTCTTATCTGATCCACGGGTTTCTGAGGCCTCATTAGCACCTGCAGGATCCGTGTTTAGCTGAAGAACACGCCTGAACGGCCTTCTGAATCCATAGATTATAACAAGCATCCATTTGTTTTAACAACATGAAGGTAAAGTTGGCTGAGCACAGCAGATTTAAAAACCCTGCAATAAGCTTCGTAGCAAATGTAAGACCTTTAATTAATGCCCTTTTTTAACATCAGAGATATGATATTAATCAGGCTATTATATTTAAAAATGAATAAAAACATCACTGTCCTGTTTCCTATTTTCATTCAGATTATATGTATTTCTTTTTATCTATGAGCTGGAAATGTCCCCAGATTGGATTTCTGGAAATCTGGTCACTTTGCTATTGAGGAAAGATGCGTTAGACTCACTTCAGCTCAGTCAGATGTTGTTTAATGCAGTGGTTCCCAAAGATTTTCTTCTGGGCCCCCCTTTGGATAATAATAACATTTCCACGCCCCCCCCCCCAAAAAAAAAAAAAATAAATAAATAAATAAACTGGGCACACACATCGTTCAACCAGAAATAATAAACCTATACACATATTTTGTTTTCAAACTCCACTGAAGTTTATTTCACACTTCAGGTTGCACCAAAACAAACTACACCATCTTTACAGTGGAACACTTTTGTGTAACTGTATTTTTTTCATAGTTCTATACTGTAGATTAGAAGAGGATTCTTTGTTGTCTGTGTTATTTTAAACATATTTCGTTTTTTTTATTTGTCACAATATTTAACTTAGCTATCATCAATACATTAAAAAAGCCTCTGTGCAAAATGGAGTGAAAACATTGAACAGCTCCCTGAGAGTTTTTTCTTTGTACTTTAATCCTCCCATCTTTTCAGTGGCTGTAGTGAGCCTGCTTGTTGCTGCAGATCTTCTCAAATCTGGGTTGCAGTTTCACAACTGTCTATTACCCTCAGTCAAGCAAGCACTGTTTTTTTTTTTCTTCATTCATCCATACCACTTCCCGCGCCCCCCCCTGCAATAGCATTGCGCCCCCCTAGGGGGCGCGCCCCACACTTTGGGAACCACTGGTTTAATGTGACCATGCAATCCAACAAACTTTCTTTCCTCTTGATCAAGACGCTTTATTTTCCAAAATAAACACAAACTTAGATTTTCTTACCGCAACATGACGTGACAGGCAGATCATATCGGCTCATTTCGTTCCTTTTTTGCCACTATAAAAACAACAATAATCAAAAGCGGTCAAAAACTGTATGGCTGCGCTGACTGAATCCAAGAGCTCACCCGGCCAATAGCCAACTCCAGTATAATCCAGGTGCTGCAGTCACCTGTCCATAATGAAGGGGCGGAGGCCAGAAACAGCGTAAATTATGAACGGCAGCAAAACACAACTAAACAAATTCATGATTTCATAATTAAGTCAGTCAACTTATACTTCAAACCAAAATATTTCATGTTCTTATATATCATACCAAAACCAGACAAAAATAGTAAACTAGAAATAAATATTCAATCATAAATCAAGCATTTGGCTCCAACACTGGTTATGTCACAGCTTCATTCTGTTATCACTATAATTTTTATTTATTTAATTTTTTTTGGTACATCTCTATGGCCTTTATTCTCTCCTTGAAAGGCAGTTGGAGTCGATTAATTTTAAAAATGGATCAACAGATTTTTAAACATCTAAAAGTGGACATCTTCTGATGGTCTGGCTGTTGACTCTGGGCTCCAGCAGTTTGCCATGAGCCGTGCCGTTCCCTCTATCCCTCAGCCTCTTTCGCCTCTTAAAGCCAAGATTTATTGTTGCACTTGTTTCAAAGTCCACCTGACAAGTCGTCTTTCCAACAGATAAATCTTGGGTTTGGCGGATGAGAAAAATAACATCTCCCTCACTTTAGTGTAGATGGGTCTTCAGGGAAAGAAAGCGAGCTCCCTCTCCTCTAACTGGGCATCCAGTAAAAGACCTCGCATCCATTCAAAATATTTATTTATGGAAAAGAAAACAGATTTTTCTTTTTTACTACAAAAAAAAAGAAAAACAAAAGCTGTTTTGCTGTTCCCCATATATATATAATCTGAATGTTTGTTCACTAAAGGTTCTCAATAAGTCACAAAAACAATGAAAAACTTCTACCCAGATTTCTAACCTCCGACTAAGTGATATGTGGTTGAAAACAGAGCAGTTCATGAAGAGAAGTCCTGCATCAGGCGCAGCCATGTTTGCTTTTTATCTACATCAGAAACTGTTGCAGGTCTTGCACCCAGACAGGTTTAAGTCACATCAAGTCATTAATGAAAATTCACTAAACAAACAATCGGAGTCGAGTCCGGATGAGGGAGGAGAGTTTGCTCGGCTGTAATGACTTTATAATTGGTGTTTTGTGACGTGTGTGTTTTGAGCGCTTCCAGTCGACCCGCCTCACATCCATTTGCATAATTAGGAATGTCATCAGCCAAGATAAAGTGTGTGTTTACAATGACGCGCTGTTAGAAGATTCGTGCTTTCTGCTTGGTTGGTTCTGATGGGGACCAGACTGAGCTTAATGTGATCCTGCAGATGTCGCCGGGGCGACAGGAAGTAAAACTCCTCCTAAAGCTTCACACTAGAACCCTGCTGTTTGTTAGCAAATAATTTTTCTTGTTTAGGATGGATTACAGTTTAGTTTTTCCACTTTAACTTCACAACTCAGCAGTTTTTTACTGGCTTTTTTTCTGCTAATCAAACAGCAGCTGTAAGTCCCACCACCGGTTACCCTGCAGAGGATAGATGTGAAATTTCTGCACTTTTTTTGAAATACATAAGTAGAATTAAGTATTTAAAAAGGAAGATGATTGAATTTTAGACGGTCAGTGAAAAACTCTGCATAGGAAGCAGTAAGATGCACATCAATTGGCACCATTTGTTGAGCAGAACTGGAGAAACTATTTATTTCTTCTGCAGGAGAAAAGTTCAGTCCAAGGCTTTAGAGTTTACAGCACATATTTGTCAACCTTAAACATAGAAAGTTTCCTCCATATTTTCTTCAAATGTTTTTAGCTAGAGATGTTATAATAGATAAAAATCCTGGCCTTCCTCAGATCTTCTGAAAGGGTCCGGCGCCATCTTTGATCCCTGAGGATTAAACATGAGAAGGTTTAACCAATCAGGATCTGATTCAAAGATTTTTCAACAATCTTTGGATTTTTAATGCCTTGCAAATGATTTAATGAAAAAATAATCATGTGTTATGACTGGCTAATATCTTTGCTCTGAATCAGTAATGAATGAATGAATGAATGAATGAATGAAACTTAATTGATCTCACAATAGAGAATTTGACTTGTGACATCAGCTCTTATAAACAATAGAAGTTACAAAAATGAGGAAAATGTGCATGGAGTATATACTGTACAGTGCATCCAGATGTATACAGTGAGTGCTAAAAATAACAGAGAGCTTTAAGGTGACTTATATCTACAGTATTTTCTGTATAGTAAAGTGGTGGCAGGTAAAGTGCAGTTTCTGGTTTGTTAAATAGATAAATATTAAAAGTTATTACAGTTTTATTCCACCAGATTATAGTGCAGTGGCATTGTAAGGTCTGATGAATGACCTGCAGTAGAGCTCCTGTTTACACACTGCATGTTTAAGACTAAAGGAGCTGCTCAGTTCCCCTACAGTCTGGTGCAGCGGGTGGAAGGTTTGATGATGCATAAAAGCTTGAACAGAATCAGAATAAGAAATACTTTCATGACCCCAGGGGGAAATAATCTTTCTTACATGATCCAGGTATGCAAACAACATGTTGCACACATTCATCAACTAAAGAAATAAAATACACCAAGTATTACAATGCAACTTGTATTTTATTATTATGTTGGAAGCTTGGACAGGACCCTCCTCTCAGCCACTGAGTCCAGAGTGCAGCCAAGGACAGAAACGGCCTTTCTGATCAGTTTGTTTCGTCTCTTTCTATCCCGCTCTGCTGCCAGGGGCCCAGCAGACAGCAGCGTAGAGGAAAGCTGATGCCACCACAGAGTCAGAGAAAGTTTTTAGCAGGCATGCTCACTCCAAATCAGTAATGATTTTTAGTTTCAATGAAATTGAGAAGCGACGCCTTATGATGTTTCAGATTTACAATCAGTTTCCATTAACATGAGAGTTGACCTGATATGAAGCTTTGATTTGATAATGTTGGAGGTGAACTTTACTCCTGTAAACGTGGAGGTTTGGGTGAAGAGCTGCTTCTTTTAGCCGTTCTGTGCCGATTGTTTCTCTTTGTTATTTTCCTCCACTTGTTGTCTTGAGTTTAAACTGTTTTGTGCAGAGAATCTTCTCCTGACTGACCTCCATCCCTTGCTTTCAGATCTCCACACTACGCCTGCCCAGAGGTGATCAGGGTGAGTGCTTTCTCTGTTCCTTCCTCTTCAGTCAGTCTCAGCTCTCTGCTCCTCTTCTTCATCCTAATGCCGACTGCAAAATGAAGCGCATCTCCTTTTTGTTTCATTCTCTCTCCTTTTTGAGGACTAAAACATGTTAGCGCAGAACTTTAACCCAGGATTTTACTCCTGAGTTTAAACAATCCCATTTTTTATCTTTTAATTGCAAAATTATTTCAATCCTTCTCTGAGTTCTGGTTGGATGTTTCAGAACATTTACCACCCATGGACGGAAGCTTCGGTGTGTCATAGTTGTTTTGTCCTGGTTTGCTTCATTCAGGGAGAGAAGTACGACGGGAGGAAAGCAGACGCGTGGAGCTGTGGAGTCATCCTGTTTGCACTTTTAGTGGTGAGTAACTCTGCAGCTGCTGCTGCATCATCACCATCAGGAGCGACGGCAAACACTCCGATCACTGAGGTGGAAAACAATATAAAACAGCAGTTATCAGATTTTTTATTATTTTATTTTATTCGTGATGCTTTACAAATACCATCTCTTATATCCAGGTCTTTTTCTAAGCCTTGAGATTTACAGTATGAAGTTGAATAAACAGGATTTCAGGAACTATTAAGTCACTGGTGTGATGATTCGTTCCTGCTGCACCGACCATCACATCCTGCAGGGTTTCATCTTTCTTAACCTCTAAGATGCTTTTACTTCTTTATCTTGACGTAAACATGAGTGAAAACATGAGGATTAAAGCTGATAAAGGCTGAAATGACTCCAGATGACCCCGCTGGAGTCATCATGGGGAAAACCAGCAGGAGGAGGATTTGGTTCAGTTTGTGCCGCAGGAAGTTGGATCATCCAGATTAAGTTTTCCCATCCAGACATGAGGACCATGTGCTGCTCTGAGATCTTCTCACCTTCTTCCTGATTTCCTCTGAAGTTTAGTGACAGTGATCAGTGAGCTTTACAGGAGGTGAGATAATTACAGGTCGTATGTTTCTCGTGGAGGCAGGCGTCCCTTCGCCATGATAAACGGAGCGGGAAGAGGTCCCCGCTAGCTTTGTTGTGATAAGCGTTGTCGTGTCAACGGCCATCTGGCTGCATCCTCCTCGTTTCTGATGAGGAGGAGACGGCATCCGTCATCAACTTGCTGAGCGGCTCCCCAGCTGGAGAACCGGCTGACGGTGAAACATCATGTCTGATGACTGATGGCCAAAACGAACCACTTCCTGCCTGACAGGCCGGGCCATGAGGTCCGACTCAGACAAAATACGGGCTTTATATTGGCTCAGGGTCATAGAGGGGTGGGATCCACCTGCCAGGATAATAAAACCATCTGGGGATGAGAAAATCTATTTATATAGATCTTTGCTTCAAAACGGACAAAAGTTTGTTTCTTAGCAAAGGAGCAATGCTCAGTTGCTGATCTGATGATGCAGATCTGATGAACAGATGCCACCTTAAGGAGAGAAGCAGCCAGAGGTGTCTGGGCTGGAGGGCGCCCTTCCAGCAGGACATCCAAACTGAACATCTGCTCAGAGAAACATGGGCCAGAATGGCCTAGTCAAAGTCCTGACCTAAAATAGAGCAGGTTTAACTGTAATGTTTAGGTCTTAATAGAGCAAATAAACCGTCTTAACGACAAATGAAAGGTTTAGATCTAATATAAATGATGTTTCAGGATGTAGCTCTGCTGTTTCAGGAAGAAAACTTCATTCTTCTGCTTCCTGGAGAGCTGGGATGGCAGCTTTCCTCTTATTTCATCTTCAGGTGTAAACCTTATATCTGTGTTCATAGTGATTAGAATTTTTCAGTGTTTTATCTCATGTCTCATGCAGAAAAGGTTCAGAATCCAGAAATATTAAAGCTATCAATTATGAAGTTAAAACCTGTAGAGAACGATGCGTCTCTACTTTCAGGGCGCTCTGCCGTTCGACGACGACAACCTGAGGAACCTTCTGGAGAAGGTCAAGCTGGGAGTTTTCCACATGCCCCACTTCATCCCTCCAGATTGTCAGAACCTCCTGCGAGGAATGATCGAGGTGGACGCCACCAAACGGTTAACGGTAAGCAGACCGTCCACCTGAACTACCAGGTTCAACCGAACCACCACGATTATCTGAGCTATGACTTTTATTTCTCATGAATGTTTTGTGATGTTTCTTGCAGTTGGAGCAGATCCAGAAGCACACGTGGTATCTGTAAGTACATGTCTCCTCTTTTTATTTTCTTGTGAAGTGTGCGTTGTCTCGTTATTAGAGAGGATAAAAGGATGCTGAGGGATGATGATACTCTCATCAAAGGTTTTTTTTTTTCTTCTAAAAGAAGCCTGTCCATTAGTCACCAGAGAGAGCTGCTCTCATCACTATGATCTCTAATGGATTCACTATTACTGGGCCTTGAAAAGCTGAATAATGTGTTAGGAGAGGAGAACATCAACGCTCCTGACTTTTGTTCTGCTCATTGTGTCTCACTGGAAAGTTTCACCGTTCTGTTTCATTTTTTTTTTGTCCTGTCCTGTCTGCTGATGTGGCAATAAGAATAATTGTCTTGATGCCAAAAAGAAACAGGTTTTGCTTTCACCGGTGGAGCAGTACGGCTATCGCCATAGTGTTCCTCTTGATTTATGCATATAATTAGTTTTACTGTAATTAATGCAGGGAGTTTTACAGATTATATGGACACTGCAATGGAAGTAGAACAGGAAAGGAAAAGGAAGAAAAGATGAAAGAAAGAGGAGATAAAAGGGAGATAATGATAAAACGTCTTCAGTCTGTTTCCTCACCTGCAAACAGGTGAGGAAACATTTCATTAAGATAGAAATACCCAAAAATCATTTTTCACCAAACCACCACATTAATCCCGCCTTTTTTTGCCGCATTAAAAGAAGTAAAAAAAAAATGGCAAAGAATCATGATCCGGATTTAGGATGATTAGATTTTTTTTTGTTTTGTTTTTTCAAAACATTTTTCTTAAAATTTTCTGAGTAAAAATAATAGGAAACATAAAAAAGATCAATTAAAACTTTTAAAACTTTTTTTCATATAATAAATAATTGTTACCTGAGTTGTACCTTTTGGATACCACAAGCTTTAGTGTTTGGACCTGAATGTTTTACATTGAACAGGTCAGAGTTTTAATAGTTTCAGCAGAAAAGATGAAATATCCCTACGCTGATGACAGCATCTTGATTTAGTATATAAATATTAAATCTCTAGAGGGATGATTTTAAATTTAACTTCTGAGTGAAGTCAGATTTTATTAGTGATAAACAGTTTGAAGCCTAATTGAAACAAAAGAACAAAATTTGTAATGTTGTTTAAAATCAATGTTATGTATTGGTCTAAACATCCATTCCATCTGAGTAAAAGCAATCCCAGATCATGACACTGCCGCCACTGTGCTTCACTGTGGTTTTCTTTGTGTTGACCTAAAAGTTCCAATTTGGGTGCCTACAAAGGCCCTCCCAGATTTGAGCCAGACCTGGAGGCTTAGGTGGAATTAAAACCTTCAGGGTAACATATGTGGTCCAGATACCTGGAGAACATAACAGCTTGGTGTTACAGGTGGGGCATCAGTATTTGTCTTTAATTCTGCAGCTCGCCTCATTGCAGCCCCCCTCTTCTGGAAAGATATTGTTATTTAATTAAGTATTTGGTTAAAATAATTCTGATTAAGTTTAAACTTTTCTTGGTTTACAGCTTTCAGCACCTTATAAACATTGGTAGATGCTCATTAAACTCTGGCTTTAGTCAAATTATCAAACAGTTGCATAAAAATAGTAGCTTCAACAAAGGAAAGCTTAAGGTGTGCATATTTTAACTTCTCCTTTAAGATTCAGCTCTGGAATTAGCTTGACGATCTGGTTTCTTCTGGGATAAGTCCAGTTTTTGACCCCACCCGCCTTGGGGAGCAGCAGAGTCCTTTTTAAAGGTTCCTTCCTTTTTGTTGCAGAGCTGGGAAAAACGAGCCTGAGCCGGAGCAGCCGGTCCCCAGGAAGGTGGCCATCAGGATGCTGGGTTCATCCGAGGAGATCGATCCAGACGTCCTGGAGAGCATGCACTCTCTGGGCTGCTTCCGAGACAAGGAGAAGCTGAGCAAAGACCTGCTGTCTGAGGAGTGAGTGACGAAGCGGATGGGTTTATAAAAACTGCACGGCCAGCAGAGTTAGGGAGACGTTGACAGAAACTGTCAGTTTGATGAATTCCTTTAATCTGTCCGGCCGTGATGGAGCGTCTTCTGCTGCGTCTCTGAACCACGGCGCTCAGCTCTGTCTGCCCTTCTCTCCTCAGAGACAACCAGGAGAAGATGATCTACTTCCTGCTGCTGGATCGGAAGGAGAGATACCCGAGCCATGAGGACCAGAACCTGCCGCCCCGAAATGAAATCGGTACCTGAATCCTGTTCCATCCAGCTGCTTGGCTTTCAGACGTAGAGGAACCTAATTTTCTCTGCCTACAGTTTCAGTAGCTAAAATGTGGAGATGAGCAACATCTTCTGTCATCTTTCTGGGCTTGGCTCTAAATTCTACTGGTTACACTAGAATTTAGAGCAGATGAATCTGATTTAAAGGCATCTGTTGGATCGTGATGATCATATTTATTGCAGCTGAGGTGATCTTGCTCAGTTCTACCCATCTTTGTCTCTCTCTCTCTTTCCTGGACTCGGCCCGTTGGGCTCAGCAGACCCTCCCAGGAAGCGGGTGGACTCGCCCATGCTGAGCCGTCACGGCAAGCGGAGACCCGAGAGGAAATCGATGGAGGTTCTGACCGTCACAGAGGGGGGCTCCCCCGTCCCGGTGCGACGAGCCATCGACATGGCGACCCACGGTCAGAGGTGAGGCTGCGGCGGTTTTCATCTGCATGGTCGAGCACACGCCTCTGGATCAGAGCAGATGATGCGCCGTTTCTTCGGTGGTGCAGGGTGGTTTATCAGAAATGTATTTAAGCTGGGTTCATGAGAAACGGGGAAGCAGCTCATCGCGTTCTCAGGATGTTCCTCCGACTGCTGCGAATTTTTCCCTGCTTCACTGAACTGCAGTTTGATACATGACACGTTCTGTTGTCTGTGTTCAGTCGGCGCCATAGAGCTGAAGTAAACTTCTGTTTCTGAGTCGATTCTTTTTAGTTCTGGGCAAACGTCTCTGCAGCCGTGAATGCATGAACAGGATGTCCAGGTCCGTGTGTGGAGAGTGTGCATGGGGCATGCTGTCGTTATGAGGAGTGGACAGGAAATAAGAGGGTCTTGGTGTTTTGTTTGTGGTGTGGTGGAGGGATCAGAATGTGGGCTTGTTGTCAATGGGATGTCCCCGAGACGAAGCCCAGGTTGATATTTGCCTTGAAAAACTCGAGTCAGAGCTGGAAACGTTTATGAGGAACCAGACAGATTTCTGCCCTCCACCTCGTCCTGCTTTATCTGATCTGAAGGGTTTAATGAAGGAAGAGCTTTTTTTTAGGTTCCTCTCATTAAGCTGACAGATGCAGTCATCTTGATGCCCTACACATCCACTCTGACTGTTCAGATAGAGTCAGAGCCTGTGGTTCATCTGAATGTAGCTGCTTCAAAGCCCAGCATTCTGTAGAGCTGAGCAGGAACTGTTGTCTCCAAAGCTTATCCAACTAAAGCTGTCAGACCAACACTTCTTAGAAATGCGGATTTGCCAACAGTTTGAGCGGCTAAATAAAATGCAAAAAGTTTCCATCTAACCAACGTCCTGTAGTCTTAGATCTAACAAGGACGTCTTTATGATCTAAGTGTGAGAGTTACTGCTGCTGAAGGATGTTCTACCAGCTTCTGCATTTAGTTTTTCACTGACTTTTGGCACTTTGGTTTGTTATTGTCTAGTAAATATATTGCATGTATAATGAGACAAGAATCCAGGTCTCAGTGAAACGGCATGAACAGAAGATAGAAAAAAAAATCTGATTGTAAAGGTTATGGTTTGTTTTCTTATATCCAAGGTGTTCAAACTTCTTTCTGTTTGCATGATTTTGCTGTTTTATGTGAAATGAGCAAAAAGTCCATAGATCTGCTGATTCATCATCTCCTCCATGAGATGAATCATCACTAAACCTTTAAATAACCTGATGTTTCCATCCCTCCTCCTGGGACAGAATGGCATTTATTTAGCTGCTGCTTTGGTTTAAATTAGGATGGGATGATGATCCAACAACTGAGATGAATGAATCTCTCCTCCTTCACAAGGCCAAGTTGATGTTAGCCTCTGGTAGGTGGTAGTGATAAAGCACAGTCGGTAGTTTTAGAGAAAATCCCAGAACAAATGGAAAAAGAAAATAGAAGATTTAAAAGCTTTTTTGGACTCATTTCTAGAATCTGTGACCATCAGTGAAAGTTATTTTAGGTAAGTTATATAGAGGTCACTAGGTTGAAGTCTGGAGGAAAGTCCAGACTCTCGTCTTGGAAGAACCGAGGAACCACCAAGGCGACAGGGGCGTTGGATGTAGGAGTTTGCCCTGAAATCGAAGGTTTGGCGGTTCAAGCCCCGACTCCGACTTTCAGTGTCGTTGTGTCCTTGGGCAAGACACTTCACCTGCATTGTCTACTGATGGTGGTCAGAGGGTGGCGCCAGTGTACAGCAGCCCCGCTTCTGTCAGTGAGCTCCAGGGCAGCTGTGGCTACAATGTAGCTCGCCACCATCAGTGTGTGAATGAATGGGTCAATGAATGTAGTGTAAAGCGCTTTGGTCAAGTCTCCTGGCTTGAATAAAGGCGCTATATAAGTACAGGACATTTACCATTTACCAAGGCCGTGAACTCTGTTAACCATAAACGGCCACATGTCTTCCGGAGGTGGATAACAGCGGAGCTTCTGGGACCAAACGGACACAACAGATGTCTGAAAGAGGATAACTGAGGGAAGAGAGAAGTCTTCTCTCTGATAAAGGAGGATGGTGTTCAGTAAAGGAGAAGTTCAACTGTAACCTATCAGGCCAGTTAAAGTGTTGGTGAAGCTTTCCAACCTAAGATCATCTCAGAGAGACGGGAAACTTGGACCCAATTTTGTGTTCCAACAGAAAATCGGTCAAAATCATTTTCATTTCCTTGTTGTAAATTTCTCATACTTTTTCTCCTATCGTGGGATTTTACGAATCACCACATAAGATTTAACAAACATTCTTAACTTGGAGTAAATGATCCTCGTAAACCTGCTGTGCATGAGACATGTTCCTGAGAAATATAAATCTGTAATTACCGCCCTGATAATACCATATAAGGCTACGACTTCTCTAACTGTCAGAAGGTGGAAAATAAGGAAGTACAGGTGCTGGTCATAAAATTAGAATATCATGAAAAAGTAGATTGATTTCAGTAATTCCATTTAAAAAGTGAAACTTGTATATTATATTCATACATTACATACAAACTCATATATTTCAGATGTTTATTTTGTTTAATTTTGATGATTACAAATGACAACAAATGAAAATCTCAAATTCATCATATCAGAAAATTAGAATATTACTGAAGACCAATAAAAACAAAGGATTTATAGAAATGTTGGCCAACTGAAAAGTATGAACATGAAAAGTATGAGCATGTACAGCACTCAGTATTTAGTTGGGCCTCCTTTGGCCTGTATTACTGCAGCAATGCGGCGTGGCATGGAGTCGATCAGTCTGTGGCACTGCTCAGGTGTTATGATAGCCCAGGTTGCTCTAATAGTGGCTTTTAGCTCTTCTGAATTGTTGGGTCTGGTGTATTGCATCTTCTTCTTCACAATACCCCATAGATTTTCTATGGGGTTAAGGTCAGGAGAGTTTGCTGGCCAATTAAGAACAGGGATACCATGGTCCTTCAACCAGGTACTGGTAGCTTTGGCACTGTGTGCAGGTGCCAAGTCCTGTTGGAAAATGAAATCTGCATCTCCAAAAAGTTGGTCAGCTGCAGGAAGCATGAAGTGCTCTAAAACTTCCTGGTATGTGGCTGCGTTGACCCTGGACCTCAGAAAACACAATGGACCAACACCAGCAGATGACATGGCACCCCAAACCATCACTGACTGTGGAAACTTTACACTGGACTTCAAGCAACGTGGATGAAGTGCCTCTCTTCTTTTCCTCCAGACTCTGGGACCTTGATATCCAAAGGAAATGCAAAATTTACTTTCATCAGAGAACATGACTTTGGACCACTCACCAGCAGTCCAGTCCTGTTTCTCTTTAGCCCAGGCAAGACGCTTCTGACGCTGTCTGTGGTTCAAGAGTGGCTTGACACAAGGAATGCGACAGCAGAAACCCATGTCTTTCATACGTCTGTGTGTGGTGGTTCTTGAAGCACTCACTCCAGCTGCAGTCCACTCTTTGTGAATCTCCCCCACATTTTTGAATGGGTTTTGTTTCACAATCCTCTCCAGGGTGCGGTTATCTCTCTTGCTTGTACACTTTTTTCGACCACATCTTTTCCTTCCCTTCGCCTCTCTATTAATGTGCTTGGACACTGAGCTCTGTGAACAGCCAGCCTCTTTAGCGATGACCTTTTGTGTCTTGCCCTCCTTGTGCAAGGTGTCGATGGTCGTCTTTTGGACAACTGTCAAGTCAGCAGTCTTCCCCATGATTGTGTAGCCTATAGAACTAGACTGAAAGACCATTTAAAGGCTTTTGCAGGTGGTTTGAGTTAATTAGCTGATTAGAGTGTGGCACCAGGGGCCATCAATTTTGAACCTTTTCACAATATTCTAATTTTCTGATATGATGAATTTGAGATTTTCATTTGTTGTCATTTGTAATCATCAAAATTAAACAAAATAAACATCTGAAATATATGAGTTTGTATGTAATGTATGAATATAATATACAAGTTTCACTTTTTAAATGGAATTACTGAAATCAATCTACTTTTTCATGATATTCTAATTTTATGACCAGCACCTGTATTTGGGAGTGTTGTTCTAGCGGTTAGAGCAGTGCACTTATGCTCTGAAAAGGTTACAAATACCTGGATCGATCCCCGCCGCCTCCACTCTGGGTGTCTGAGCAAGAACTTTAACCCCCGATTGCTCCCAAGGCGCCGCACAGTGGCAGCCCACTGCGCCCCAATTACTATTGTTATTATTAAAACTTTACTGGTTCAGAGATCGAGGTTCTTATGACTGAAAGCTGAATAGCAGAGTTAAAGGAGTCAAACAGTTATAGAAGGAAAAATAAAATAAAAAATAAGAATAATGGTTTTATATAAAAACATTCAATGAAAACATGAGATTTTTCTGGACATGGCTCTTACATGAGGCCCAAATACATCCAGAGTTCTGGAAGGCCACCCCCCCACCCCCCCCCAAAGACTGGACCTGGAGCGTGTTGGTGAGGAATGAACCAGAGGCCAGAAAACGACCAGTTTAACTCAAGCAGTCCTGCCCAGAGGTCAGAGCCTTTCAATGGCTGCTGAAAGGATCATCCTCCTCATTTTGAGTTCAACTGTTTGCAGTTTTTTTTTTTATACATATATAAGATGTTCACCCTGTAAAAAGAGAGAGAGAGTCTTTGAAATAAACCATTCATGCCCAGAATGAGTGGATGGAAACGTGGTGATGGGGTCCAGCGGGCTTTTAAACGCTCCTGCATGAATTTCCTCCTTTTTTCCAGACTTTGCATGCATTTTTTTTATTGTTAAATTGTTGCTTTGGTTTTATTATTGACTCCAGTTTTAGGTTTCTCTGCTAAGTTTCTTGAATGCTGCACGCCACTCTAAAGCTTTCCCTTTATGTGACCACCTCTCCTCTCCGTCTCTTCGTTTTCTTTCTTTCTTTCCTTTTTTTTCCTTTTTTAGCAAATCTGTTTTCAGTAAAAGCTTGGATATCACAAACGCTAACTGCAGCAAGGAGGAAAGGTACAGCTCCGCTCAGTTTTTACCTGTTGTGTCCGTTTAGCAGCAGATATTTCTTCTTTAGATGTTTACAGTATTTTCCCCCCAGAGTCAGATGCTTGTAGCTGCTTTAGTCTGTATTGTTATTAGTTTATTGTTTAGTCCTGATCTGTTGTTTGGCTCTTTGGGGCAGAAAATGTTAAATCTGTGTTTCTCAAACTTCTCCTGGTCAGAGTCAACTATTAAATAGAGAAACATTACATTTACGACCACTTTTAATAATTAATATTATTGTTTTGTTTTACTGTGTAATAGAAATCAACATTGCCATCAGTATTATTTTTTAAATACCTTTCAATATTTATAGAGTGAATTTTGTTGTTTTTTTTATTTGAAATTAGAAAAATGTAGAATCCAAATATGAAACTGAAATTTTTGTTTAAATAATTGTTAAAATACTTTGCTGTTTTCTTAGATTGTATTTTTTTACAGATTTTATATTTGACTTTATTTCTGTTTTTAGGTAGTCTTATTAATTGCATTCTCAACACATTGTGTTTCCCAGATCCCATTTTAATGGTGCGAACGTGATCCATGCAACACAATATTCATAAAATCTGAGAAACTGGAACATTTACAATAATAAACTCTGTAAAAGTTAAATAATTTAAAAAAGTATAATACAAATTAAAATGCATTTGAAAAGAAAAATACATTTTTCTTCTTCAAATTTCAATTTACAGAAACATTTCCAAAATTCACTCTAAAAAAAATAATAAATAATAGGTATAATAAGTATTTCTTGATGTAACTTTTTTAGATTTATAAAATTCAGAAATGTTGCTGATAAATGTACTTTGGTTATATTGTTTTTATCCAGCATGTTTGTTGGTACTTTTAAAAATTCAGATGATGATGTCATGGCTTTCTAAGCCTCTGATAGAATAGAATAAACTTTATTGATCTCACAAAGGAGAAATTCACTGATAGTGAATTCAAAAGCCCAGCTGTGGATTAATGGCTGGTTTATACTCAGAAACCCGGTCGTCTGCGTGTGTAGCAGTGAACGCAAATGTGCCCCCGCCCCCTCCGCAGACACTCCGCTGCACCTCTCCAAAATTGTAGGTGAGCGCAGACAGGAGGCCTCTGATTGGTCAAATCTACATCCACTCTACTATTTCCTGTTTGGTACCTTACAGGCTTGTTTTGTTTGTCTCACCACGATTGTGGAAAACGTCTCGTGAAGATTGACCAGCTAGCAGAGTGAGGTGCGGGAGAGCGCTGGGACCCTTTTTCCACTTGGATCCCCGCTCTTTTTGGCCCTCATGTCCCTCCGTTGTCGCACAAACTTGCCCCCACTTCCTCACTGCCTCGGCCGTATCTAGACCCACAGCTGGTCCGTGATCGTTCCAGTTGCGTTGTGGCGTGGAATAATATAGCGCAGACCATGCTTCAATATTGGGCATAAATAAAAAATGTCTGCGACGATCTCACTGCGACACACTGCTGGGGGAGGATAACCAGCACTTGATCCTACAGTATTCTTCCTGTCATTGTGGAACCTTTTTATTTTTATTTTTTAAGACCTCTGCAAAGAACAGGAAGTGAACCATAGACATCAACCAGTCCGGTTTATCCTGAGGTCTAATTTGCTCATCTATTTTAATGTGATATGCAGTTATAAACCCTGCAAAGCACTTGGCTCAGTTCTGGAAGGTTCTAATCTGACCCCAAAGGCTCTGTGTCCCAGAAATAAACAGGTTTGGTCTGAAATATGCAGGTTAACTCCAGAATGAAGTAGATCTTATGAAGATGCTGACTGAAGCTAAGATTATTCAGGGAAAAATGAATCCTGCAGCAACATGGGCCGGAGGGGCCGCTCTGTAAGGAAGAAGCCATGATTACAGTTAGAAAATGAACAGATTGTTCCTGCTTCGCATGTGAGGTTGGATCCACTCTGCAATATTTAAACTCTGCATCCTGCTCTATTTTCCAGTCCTTCATATTTCCATGGAGTTCTGATCACTTTGATCCCTTCCGTGTTATGCTGTGAATGATACAGATGAATTATGCCTCCAAAATGATGTGAAATTAGGAATCTGACTGCATTCTCTGTCAGAGCGGGAGGGGAAACGCTCTCCTTATAATCTGCAGAGCGTGACTGATGACTGTATGTTAGTGTTTTTGCCGTCTGTTTCCTCTGTGGAACATTAAGAGTCGGCAGACGTCGTGTTTGCGGCAGCCTCCCTGTGCGGCCGACCTTGCGGCAGGAGAAACCCCGTTAGCGAGCCCATTTTAGTCCTGGATGCAGATTAGCATAAATTAATTGGCAGGAATGCAGACGGAGCGCAAACAGGAGAATGGAAATGAGGCGCTCAGTAGCCCTTTATCTCACTCATCATCTAATTGGAGAGATGCGTAAAAATGAGGCTTGTTGCACCAGCAGGAATTTTGAGGTCTTGGAGAGCTGCCGGCTGCAGCATCCTGATGTTTGGACTGGATGGGTGTCACCGGTAATGAGTTTATGATAATAGGAGCTCCTCATGTGAAGTGTCTGACAGCGTGGACAGTGTCCCTGCGCTGATAGCGGAGCTGCATTGATGATCGGCTCAGCAGCACCTTGTGTTGGTTTTACAGCTGAAGGAGCTCTAATGATGAAGGCAGAGTTCTATCCAGGAGTTTTTCTCTTCCCCCTACATAATAAATGTCATTATGGTCTAGCTATAGCATTTTGAGGTGTTTGAAAGAGTTACCTGGCAGTTTAAACAATCATAATTATTATATATTTATTATTTAATATCAGATTGTTAAACCCAGTGATAAATGTTTGTTAGCAGATTCAGTAAATTAAAAAAATCACCTGCAAATCAAATCCAATAATTTGGTGATCAGAGTTGGACAAACAGGAGATGCTATAGCAGTTAATTTAGACAGATGTGTCAGTTTTATTGTGTTATTTTATTATGCAGATCTAAACTGTCTACATGAAAATAATTTTAATCCAATGGTTTGTGAATGCTTTGCATTTTTCGATGCTCCAGCTAAAATAAATGCAATAAAAATCATTAAAGCATCTAAATGCCAATTCAGTTAGACAAAGCTTTCTGTGTTTTTCCAACTTAAAATGTTGTTTCTGCAGTAAAGTGTGGGTTAGCTCAGGAGCCTGACACGTAGCTCGTGTTTTCCTGCTTCCAAATGAATCTGTTCCTTTTCTAATGCCTGTCATCGTTTTTCCATTTGAGGTCGGCTGTGTTTAATTATGATGTATTGCTTTCATTTTAAGTCTCCCTAAAATCAGGCTCCGTGCCAGAGCTTCGAAAACATCAGCAGCTCTGCATGTTTTCACAGAGATGACGATGATATTAGAGGAGGGAAAAAAAAGAGAAGCAGGAGGAGAAAGGAAATATGAAAAGTTAATGACATGCGGATGAAAAATGGAAAAGCTCATGAGAAGAAGGAGGAAGCGTTGATGAATAAAGCATTTGATGCGTGTCTGTGTGTTTAAAATGCTGACATATCCTAACTTTTTATTTACTCAGTGTTCATGAGACGGACAGAAGGATGTAAACAAATTAAATTGATCAAATGAATCGATTGTTAGTAGTGGATTAGCTGATAATTGAAGTAAATAGAGATTTTTATACTTAATGTTGCTTCTGAGCTAACAGCAAGTTTTAAAATAGACAGTGAAGAGGATTGTCTAATGAGGGGGGGGAGCAGCAACTGAACACCCCTGGTTTAGATAAATAAAACGTTTTAAACCAACCTGCATCGGGCTAAATGGGATGCTTCACAATTTTATTATTTATTTTCAGTAATTTCTATGGACTGATTAACTTTTTTCATTACCACCATCATCAGGTACTCAACAGAGACGTAATGCCTTTAGTAAAGCATTTATTTTATTTAAAATAACAAAAAACAAACAACAATTGGAGCTTATGTGTCCCTGTGTGGTAAATAAGGATTAGGCTTCCTTTAAGGTGCTGGCAAAGAAAAAAAATTACAAAAAAAACCCCACTGGTTTGATTTAGTTTGGTCCAGTATTTTGGTCCAGCGGTTTGTTTTGTAACTTTTTAACTTATTTTAAAGCATAATCTTTTGCTACGTTCACACCTAACGTGCTTTGGGCAGCAGCAGCAGGTGGTTTACATGCAAAGTCAATGGTGGACATTCATCAATGTGCATCAAAAGCTCCTGCAGCATGTCTACAGCAGTCGAACCAGCGGCTCATGTTATGTGCGTGTTGCCCTTCAGAAGCTGCAGCTACTGTAGTTGAAAAAATGGAACTTTAGCTGCTGGACGCGCCGCATCAACCAATCAGAGAAGCTGATCTGGGCGGCGATAGAAAGACAGACACAGCACTGCTGATGCAGATCGCTATGATCCCTCCCCTAAAACAGTTTATTATTGGCTAAATTAACTTAAAATGTTGGAACCTTTTGGCAAAATATGTTCACTTTTAATATGATGGTGCCGGCACTCTATACCAAATACCAGAAAAGACCTAACATCTACTTCCAGCTGCCATCAACAGTAGGGGAAAACTGCCGGTATGTGGGAGCTGAGCGGCTCCTAAAGAGAAATTATATTTGAAGGCAGGATGGTAATCTGGATGAACTGACTGCAAAGACCATGTTTTCAGGATGAGTTTCTCACTTAAAAAATATATTGAAACTACTTTTTACCCGTTGATCACAGCAAATATTAACCTGACTCTGCCAGATGGATTTGCTTCGCATTCCATTGAAGTAATTTTGGGAAGGGGCGAAAATACTGGTTAGCTGATTGGCCTCTGTTGGTGATAGACGGGCCAAATAAACCAATCAGATCAACGAAGCATATGAGGTACTAACAGAGGGACGACGAAGAGGAGCCAATTGATAGATCAAACTCTTGCTGAAACCAGTCGGGAGAAGAGCAAAAACATCTTTTCCTCTGAGAAAAGCCTCCAGAGCAGTGTTTTGCTCTTCTTTCAGTGAAGAAATACTCTGTAATTCCCATAAAACTTGCTCGGCACCCACGCTAACGCTAGTTTCATCGGCTGAAGCCGCCATGTTCTTTAGACTGAACTGTCGCGCTTCTCGTTGCATCACACCTCAACCCGCCTCAAAGCCAACGCTGATTGGACGTTCGTTTGGTGAACGGCTCCAAATTTTCTTTAACGGAGAGTCTCCAGACTGATTAGCGAGTGAAACTTTGAAAGCTCGCGAGATTAGGATGGTCTCATGAGGCTAAGCAAATATAGCACAGCTGCTCTCTGCAGGAGCAGCTGAATGATCAGACGCATCTGGACACACTTTACTGGATGTCTGACCTTAATGTGGAAAAGCATCCAAAATGAAGCAGCAGAAGCGTCTTTGCTGCTGATTAAGGGGTTCAGTATCAAAATATTCTTAAATTATTCTACACACCGGATGCAGTAGTTTGTCCTGCACCTCTCCGCCCGTCTCATTCACCCAAAAGGCCCATGGCAGCTGTGGCTATATGCAGTGTGTGAATGGGGGAATAACTGAATGCAGAGAAAAAAGCTTTGGAGATGGATTTTAAAAGGTGCTATAAAAGTTTTTACTTTTGTTTGTTTTTTTTAACCATTTTTACTGCTCTGGTACAGGCAGTTATCAATCAGATACACTAAAACTAAACTGACTGAGTGGCTTTCCGCTAGCTGTGGTTAAACAGCTCTCAACCTGCCAGTTTAGTGTGTAGCAGTGCATGTTACATTTGTTGCTGTGTTTATTTCCTCTGTTACGCTTAATGTTAATCTGACTTTGTTGTTTTAGGTCACGGTCGATCAGCGGGGCGTCCTCTGGTTTGTCCACCAGCCCCCTCAGCAGTCCCAGGGTAAGTCTTCATCCCTTCATCCCACCTGGCTGGCTAGCTCTGCTGGTATGCTTTTAATACACACATACCTACATGCATCCACCATCAGCAGCCGCTTCACACTTCATCCAAGCCTGTTGGATGCAGAGCATTTTCTGAATGTTGGGACCTAAACGTAAAAATCCTTCTGCTCTGATAAGAGATGATGTTGTTGCACCAGCTGCTTCTAATTTTCTTATCGGAGCATTCTGCCGTCATTCAGAGCTTTAAACGAAGTGCTGCTGGATCCATCAGAGGCCAAGCTCTAGATGTGATTAAGTGATGGTCTGTTTATAGGCAGCCATCCCACTGTACCCAGCAGAACATAATAAAGCTGCTGCTGTAGAAAAGTGAATTCATCGCTGAACCAAAGGTATTTATTAATCAAACCTTCAGCAAAGGAGCAGAGCTTCAAACTGGGTCATAGTTTTACTCGTCAATGTCTTTTCTGCTAATTAGTTTCCTAAGAAGGAAGAGTTACAGCTATGGAATGCTGTGAATGCCCCTAAAACATAACAATTATAAAAATTACTAATTAAGTCTTATTTACTGAAGTTTTTCACATTTCTGTTTGCACTTTGACCATTTTTATATTAAGTTTCTGAATTATAATAATTTATTACCCCAGTAACAAAGCATCATTTAGCATTATCATAAGGCTATATGATGCTAATAAGCTAAGTTGCTCTAATTGACTTTGTTGGTATTAAAGTAAAACACTAACTGACCCAAATGATCAGTTGATGAATAAAAGCTAATCGGACTTGATGTCACTATTAGTACATACGTAGTTCAAATTATATTAATGTGTTATTTTACCATCATTATAGCACAATGACCTTTATAGCATATTAACATACCGTAAATTCTCTAATATAGGCCCGGGCCTTTATTTCACTCAAGTGCATCGCGGTCCAGGCCTTTATTGGATAGAGGCCAGTATTAGAGACAGGCCTCTATTGCTATTTGAGCAAAACAGACTACCAGTGGAATGAATAAAAATGAGATTTTGTGTCTATTTGAACCTATAAAACACTAGGTTCATTTATTGAAAAAGTACAGTTACCATGTCTCGCTTGGTTTGAAGTAAAAAAAAAAAAATCCTCCAATTCTGTTTAATTCTCCTCCTCAGTTTCCTCCTCCTCTTCATCTCTCCCTTTAATCTCCTCATCACTCGCGCTCCTCCTGTTCTGCTGCGTGTCTGTTCTCTTCCTCGCGCAGACGGGCAGCAGCAGGGCTTGTCGTTCAGCTGCGCAGGGCTGTGGTACTTGTATGTTACTTACTACCACAAGTATAATGTTGAGGTATGCCCAGAAAAAACGTTTATAGCCCCGGCCTGTATTAGAGACCGGCCATTATTTACCTCCTCTGACAGCGAGACCGGCCATTATTAGAGACCCGGCCGCTATTGGAATACAGGCCAATATTAGAGAATTTACGGTATTTACTATCTAAACTCACTAATGCTGAAAAATATTAATATGCTGATGTATCTCATATTAGCATGAATAATACACTGGCCTCTAATTTACCCATATTATTAACCAGACTGACCCTTACCATGACCCTTAACATGCTAACTGACCTTTAAAATGGTATTAGCCAGTGGCGGCTGCTAGAGCTTTCCAATCAAAAGTATACTAAGTTATCACACTAGCACAGACTAGTATAAAAATTTTCAAAAACACTTTATAAAAGCAAAGCATAATTTCCTTAGCAGCTTTATATTTTGTACATAAATCTTGCCCTTCTGAGACTTTGTGAATTCCAGATTGTTCATTCTTATTTGCTGTTTCAACAAAGTGCTTTAAATCAGTCCTAGCTGTCTTTATCCATGCTGGCTCAGATCCTGACATTTGAAAAGGAGGCAGGCAGTCAAGGCAACAGAATAAAGCATTAGCCTCGCTGCAAGCAGTTAGCCAAGCCTTGTAGCTAAACCAGGTCCTGGAAAAGGATGTTTCTTGCGCCATTTGTCTCTCTCTCCAATGCGTCTCCAACTCCCACGACTCCACCTGTCAATCACCTGGTGGGAGGTGGTGAGCAAATACACTTCCTGTCAGCTCGGGGCGCAGGAATGTCTTTGTATTGCAGAGGAGCTACTGCTTATGTACGCAGTAACGGGACTCAATGCGCCCCAGGATGGAAATAAGTCACCAATCCGACGAAAAATAAAGTGACGCTTTGCTTCTCATTTAAGATTAAATATTTATCTTGCACAACTAAAAAATATCTATTAATATATTTCAAAATATTTTATATATTATTTTAAAATTTATTACAAAAAACACCCTCTTTTGGCCAGCCGCCACTGGTATTAGCATAAATAATAATCTGATTAACCAAACGTTAGCTGCCATTTTATGCAGTGCGTGACCTTAATCCAGATCTTGACATATTTAAACTGCAAAGTTGGGATAACCAACGGATTACCAGACCTTACCCATTATTAACCGTTTGAGTTTTTAATCTGCTACGTTACCTTACGTGTAATGATAACACACAGACTCTGGTCAGTTTATATTAGCCCTCAGCTGTTGGCATAACAAGCATGCTAACTGATCCACTGCAGGTAATAAAGCAAAGTTTATGTAAAAAGAAAATCCTGATGACCCTGATGGGTTCTAGTGAGAGGTTTGTAAGGAAGACGTTTTTGGTTAAAAGTTTATTTCATGAATACAGCATCAACTCTTGCTTTTAGACTCTAAGAACAGGATGCTTGGTCTTGTGTTTCTGGTCCACGGAGGCCGGTTCTGCTGTGGGTTCTCTGACCCACAGTCATCCCACGGCTTTCTACATCAGCACTGAGCATGCGCTCTGGCTGCTCTCCCTGCTGGAGGGTGAAGCTAAATCTGTTAGCTTTCAGGCCGGGTCACCGAGTCGCTGGTGTTTCAGGGATGCACCGACATACCAACACTTTACATAATGGATGCTTTGCTGATGAATCTATGAAAAACTTGAAGTTACATTTGTGAAACCTAAACCTCGATTCCAGAATGAGGTGAATTCTGATAAATGGAACAAAACCGAAGTCGACCTGAATCAGAACCTGATTTGTGTTTAAAATCGGTGCATCCCTTCAGGAATGCTTCACTGCTGCTTCCTGATTGGCTGATCACTCTGCTAATCGCATGTTCTGTTTTTCTTTCTTCCTTTCTTACTTGCACTCTCACCGCCTCCTGCCTGCTCCACTTCTCCCACCATTTTTGTTACTTTTCCGGCTGTGTTTTAATCGTATTTTTTTATTTTTATTGGAATGACCCTTTTTTGGGGGGGCTGTGGTGTTCTTCTGGCTTTGTCATTGGCTGACCCTGCTGTCATGTGTCACGGTGCATGGCCAATCCCAGCCCCACCGGCGCTTTTTCGTCCCGCCCCAGTCCCCAGATCTGTGTCAGTCCCCCAACTGCAGCCCCACACATTCCCCTGAGGTCCGCCTTAATGGGGTGGGCTCCCGTGCGGCCAACTCCTACCAACCAAAAATGGGGTCCCCTCTCATGCACCCACGCACCCAGACCCTCCCTGCCAAGCCCAAAGTATCAGAGAAGCCCCTGCAGACCACCAGGTCCAACCCCCTGCCCAACACAGCCCAGGCCCCCGGCACCCCTAAATCTGATCAATCCACAGCGAGCCAGCCCCTCGCTCCCTCCGTCCCCAATAGCCCCCACACCAGACGACACCCTCCCCTCACTGTCCCTCCCAAGCTGTCCATCCCCCTCTCCCCAGTGCCCCCTATGTCCCCGCTCCGCCGCCACCACCTTCACCCTGACCACAATGGCAAATCTGTCCCCATCACGCAGGTAACCCCTCACCCTTCCCCTAGAGGAAGTCCTCTTCCTACCCCAAAAGGCACACCCGTACACACCCCCAAGGACAGCCCGACTGGAACGCCGAGCCCCACGCCGCCGCCGAGCCCCTCCATTGGCGGGATGCCCTGGAGGACACGCCTCAACTCCATCAAGAACAGTTTTCTGGGCTCACCGCGCTTTCATCGCAGGAAAATGCAAGGTAGAAGGAGGGGGGAGTGTAATTATGTAAAGTTATGTATTTAAGTGCTTTTCATCAAACCAGGGTTCTATAGCTGCAGGGAAAATACAAAAAGTCTCTTTTTAGCTTCATCTGCAGCCGAATCCAGTCTTTGCAGCCTTATTCACACTAAATTAGGACCATAAATTAAAAAAAAAGTTTTGTTTTTGTTTTTATAAAAAAAAAAAACAACAAGAAACTAAATAAGAAACAAAATCCTGAGGATCTGAACCAAATATATCCAGCGGTTGCATTCAAACATGAGAACCTGAAGTGTCTTAAAACATCATCCCCATATTTATGATTCTGTGACTTTTTGTTAATTTGATTTTTATTAAAAACTTTAAAAATCTAAATTGATGTATAAAGTTTTTTTTTTTCTGTCGTCAAAAAGGAATAAACAAAATTTTCGTTTTCTGGGTTAATGAAATTAGCTGTAAAAAGAAAAGGGTCGATTCTTTTGTTTTTCTGTTTTTTATTATTCCCATACCGGACATGCTCACTTCCAGATGTTGGCATGAAAATGTTCTCATTTCATCAACTGTCAGTAATCATCCACTCGTCTGTTAGTTTCCCTGTAGGGAGATATGCCCAAAATGTTCCTAAGGCGGCATGTTTAACTTTTAAAAAGTGTGTAAATGCAGGATTTCACCACAAGATGTCGCTATGCTGCAGTGCGTTGTTTTCACCACTTTTACAGGAATGTTTGGGAATTCAAGAACGCAGCAGACATTAGCACAATATTTATAGCCTGAATTCTTTAGGAAAAGTGGACCGACGCTGGTCTGAGGATTTACCTCCATTAAATTAAATCTTATTTAATTAAATTAAATCTAAGCTGGTCAAAGCATTTTAAGAAAATATTTATTGTTGCCATTTTGAATACAACTACCATTCATAGCTTTTAGGGTAAAATATTGGCTAGTATTTAACTATGTGTCTTGGTTAAAACAAGAGATAAAAAAAAAAAGTTTCTCAAGCAAACTTATTCATAAATTCTAGATTAAATGTTTAGTTTTTGAGAGGTGTTTAGCTAGGTGAGCATGAAGCCTAATTTAAAGCCATCTGTTTAAAGAAAAGCAGTTATTAAATCGGTTAGCAACTGCAACTCTGCATATACATCAATAATTAGGACAGAAAAATGTATTGATAAAACTCAAATTCCCAGCATGCACTGCGCAGCACAGAAGCCAAACTGCTTTGGCTAACTACAGTAGCAGTGACAGGCTGTTAACTCTCTTTGAATTACATTGAACTGTGATGGAGGCAGGAGTCTTCTTACATCTGCAAAGTATAAAATTATCTTGATTCATGAGAGTGTCTTATACATGGGCAACCCTAGACAGGGGCCCACAGGGGCCCACAGGGGCCAGTGCTCCTGTAGAACTGCTTCTGGCCTCTGTTATGGCCCCTACATACAAAATATAAATATTTAGATATAACCATAATTTGTAAAATGTGCAATTAAATCTACCATTAATTAACTGAATTCATTTATAAAATGATGAATTTACCAATTAGATGGTAATTATTTATTATATGGTGTAGAAGTTTCTAATAAATATAATTACTTACTTTATGAATACAAATAAAAACGAAAACAATTGAGGACTCTCTAATTGTTTGCATTATTTTTGGGCCCCAGGCTGAAATGTTTGGGAACCCCTGGTCTAGATCAACCTTGGCCTCGTGGCTCAATTAGTAAACTAAACTATTTGCCAATAACCTGTTTTCTGATGTTTTACTTTTGCTCAGTGCCCCCAATAAAAAAAAAAAACGAAAAAAAAACAACAGCTTCCTGGTTAGTTTGGTCTACATCCACAACTGATCTTATTTGACATAAAGCAGATATCACAAGTAGGTGAGAAAAGGTTGCTGGTTCAAGCCCCCGCTCTAACCATCTCAGGTGTTCCCCCGCCTCATCTATTTTTGTGGGATTGTCGCAGGTCCCTAACCTGACTCCGCCAGATGGATTAGCTCCGCATATCCATCTGGAAACCTTCCGTTGAAGTAATTTTGGGAAGGGGCGAAAATACTGGTTAGCTGATTGGCCTATGTTGGTGATAGACGGGCCAAATAAACCAATCAGATCAATGAAGCATATGACGTACTAACAGAGCGACGACGAAGAGGAGCCAATTGATAGATCAAACTCTTGGTGAAACCAGTCGGGAGAAGAGCAAAAACATCTTTTCCTCTGAGAAAACCCTCCAGAGCAGTGTTTTGCTCTTCTTTCAGTGAAGAAATACTCTGTAATTCCCATAAAACTTACTCGATAGCCACGCTAACGCTAGTTTCATCGGCTGAAGCCACCATGTTCTTTAGACTGAACTGTCGCGCTTCTCGTTGCGTCACACCTCAACCCGCCTCAAAGCCAACGCTGATTGGACGTTCGTTTGGTGAACGGCTCCACATTTTCTTTAATGGAGAGTCTCCAGACTGATCTGCGAGTGAAACCTTGAAAGCTCGCGAGATCAGGATGGTCTCACCAGGCTACCCTTAGAATCCTGCCAAATCACTGCGGTCAGCAGCGATTCTTCTGCTGTACTTGTAGAAAATCCACCAACTGGAAATATTGCCAGTATCATTTGTAGAATGAGGTTTGTGTTGTGTGCTGATATAAACAGCTTAAATCAGGGAAGCATGTTATTTTTATAAAACCAGTCACATATACATAGAATATCGATAATATTTGAAAGACATTCCTGTTTTCTCACAGTTTCTGAATGCAACAGCGGGTAATATTTAAATTCAGCTTGTCGTTATGTGGAGGGGTTAGCAGTTTGAAACAACAAAAATAACTTTAATCCAAGAAGACGTTGCTTTTCTGTTTTCTTTCATTTTCAGTTTAAAAAAAAATCTTTAAAATAATTTACATAACATTAAATAACATTTTTCAAACAAACTTCATGTCCCCAACTTAGCTCCATACTTTTCACCTTTTCTTGCATCCAGTCCAGAATGTTGCATATTTTTTTCATATTTAATTTCCTGGACAAACATTAAAGGGATAAAGATAAAAAAAAAACTTTGTGTACGTTCCATTTAATCCCCAAATACTCTGAGACGCCAAAATAAAAGCAGGTTAATAGATTCAGAAAGCAGTGCTTGATGGAATTACAGTCTGAATCTAGCTGTTCTGTTTCTGGATTTAAAGGTCTGTTAGAGAAAAGCAACCATCTTAAAAAATGAAAGAAGGAATCAGAGAGGAGAACCCGTCAGAGTTTGTGTTAATTCCTGATTTAATGAGACGGTGAAAAGTTCAAAAGCTTATTTATACCTCAGTGACTGGAGGAGTGGATTCCTCTTCCTTTCTCTCAGTGACCCATCTGAACAACCATCTTAGTCGACTTTGTTCTGGCTGATTATTTATTGTTCAATCTGAGCAATAAAAAATAGAAATAATAAAAAACAGATCCAAATCTGAGCTTTGTTTCTATGTGCAGTTCCCACCCAGGAGGACATGTCCAGCCTCACCCCAGACTCGTCTCCAGAGTGAGTATAAACCTAACCACTTATTGTTGCCTCTAAGATGAAATCTGCTCAGTCTCCAAAACCACTGAAGCTGCAGGATGGAGGCGAGACGGCGGGAAGCAGCTGTACGCAGCGTCGCTCGACTGATGCGCCGCATCACGTTGTTGCTCAGGAGTCACGCTGTTATAAATAACCGTGACAGAAATAGAAGAGTGCAGGAGGAGAGAGAGGCTGGAAAATGGATCCGCTTCAGTCTTTAAACAGAGACCTAAACGGCTCACAGATCATTTAGCTGTCGGTTGGTCATGTGATCACTTTCTCAGGATGTCCTGATACCATTTCTGAGGTTCAAGTTAAGAACATTCAAGGATTTTCCAGTAGAATTCTTTTTCACTATCATGTATGAATGAATGTTTACATCATAAGACATGAAATCGATTTGATTCTGTTAGGTCGGTTCTGATTGGTTCTGTGTTTCCAAACTCCTCTGCAGGCTCGCTAAGAAATCGTGGTTCGGGAACTTCATCAACCTGGAGAAGGAGGAGCAGATCTTCATAGTGATCCGGGACAAACCTCTGAGCTCCATAAAGGCCGACATCGTCCACGCCTTCCTCTCTGTGAGTGGAAGATGAAATCTGCCCACTGGTGACAATAAGGAAGAACCCAGAGAAAATAATCATTGATGTTTGAAAGAGGAAAACCGCTGGATAATCCTTCATTTCCTCTGCCTCCCATCATTATTTTTCTTCTTTATTGGATTTTCCAGATTGTCTTTAGCTTCTGATCTGATCTGCAGTCTGAAGACTTAAATGTTTGCATTAAAACTAAAACTTTTACATCATCAGATTCAAGGATAAGGAAATACAAAAAAAAAAAAATCATAAAACGAATTTTTTGATTTAAAAACAAGTTTCTGATTAAAACTTTTATCTATTAAAGGACCACTGTGTGATTGAGCCTGTATTTAAAATGCTTCCTGTCTTACAGTAGATTTCTTTATTTTTTCAAAGTGCATCTGTTGCAGAAGAACAGGAAGATTTTCTTCCTCTCTTCCTTCTGAGCAGCTCTGATGGAGCTTCTGGTAGATAGATGTAATTCCTATTTTAAAGCCATTTTGGATGAAAACAGCAGTAAAACCCCTGCCTGGTGTCGGCTGCTGATTTATTCAATTATTGAAGATTCCTGTTAAACAAAAGGCTCTTTGAGGTTTAGATCATATTTATCAAATATTTGAGGAATTTGAACGAAACCAACGTGCGATTGATGTGTGAAGGTCGAGCTCTGAGGGGAATCCTGTTAGTTATTCAGGCGTTTTGGGACAAAGAAATTATTAAATCATTTCTTTAAACTTAGAAAAATCAACCTCCCTGCTCTGTGGGGAAGCTTTGGTTGATTGGATCCGACTTTTGGATCTAACTGCCTTTTTATTCATTCAGGGGACATTTAGATACTGTTCCCTTATTGAAATGATTCCCTCATCATCCCTGATCTTTAGAAGTCTGTACTCTTCCTTTGGTTTAAAACTGTTTTAGTATCAGACAGAAAACATTAATGCTCCAATCTAACAAAATACAAGAAGGTAGGACCGTCATCCATGTCTGGAAGGAGTTATAGAACCATGGAGAAAACACGGAACGACATGGATCAACCATTAATGAGTTCGTCTCACATTTCCCTTAAAAAGAAAAATATACAACGAACTAAAGAGACGAACGGTAAAAAGCAGGGTCAGACATGGCAGTGGAGGTGTGATGCTTTGGGCTGTAATTGATGAAACTATGAGTTCTACTATTTAGCAGCTGTTCTTGAAGGAAAACCATCAGCTGCACCGTAAAGAAACCAAACCTCATCCCTGAAAGATCGTTTTTTCCCCTCAGCTCGGCTCAGACGGTGGAAAAGCGTTTCTCCTACATCCATTCAGACCAAACTCAGAATCAGCAGGGAGAATAAACTCTAAATTAAAAACAACTTTATTACTCTGGACATGAAAATGATTAACAGAGCAGTACAAAATCTTTAATAAGGACATATTTGTTTGTTTTGTCACTTAAATAAATACAATTAAGAAATAAATCCACACTGAAACAAGGAATCTGACTGTAAGTAACACTGAACTAGTGAAACTGTTTAAAAATCATAAGATTGTTTACAGTAGATGTTAGAACTGCGCTATGATGCTGCAGAAATCATGGAAACCAGCCTGAAAATGGCTCCTGTTGCACCGCCTGCTTATAAAAAAACACAAATCCAGTAAAGCCTCAATCATTTGGAGAAATAAAAATAAAAGGACAAACATTTATAGAATATCTGACTATCATAGAGAAATATGTGAATCGTTGAAAGATGAGATTTCAGCCATTGTAAAACATTAATTGGGCTAGTTTGACTCAAACTGGGAATGAAGGCTGCAGCGTGCGACACTGCAGAGACCAGATGCAGTGATGTAATGAAAAGAATATCCCTTCTGCTCCTAAAGTAACAAACTGAATGCTTTAATGCATAAAGGAGTCCATCAGTGATTGTATAAACAAAAACCTTTTAGATTAACTTAGATTTGATTCTTTTATTTATTTTTTCAGCTTTTCTTTGTCTGATATTCGAATTATTTTTACATCCAGTTTGTTTCTGTTCCCCTTCTGTCACTCTGAGTTGAATCTATTTCATAGCGATGCTCTGTGAGCTGCAGACGCTGACGATGCTTAAACGCCTCCACGCGTTAGACGCCTCCCGTCCGTCACGCCGCCTCCTCCCCGCTGACGCTCTGTGTCCCCGTCTGTCCAGATCCCCAGCCTCAGCCACAGCGTCATCTCTCAGACCAGCTTCCGGGCGGAGTACAAGTCCACGGCGGGGCCGACGGTTTTCCAGAAGCCTGTCAAGTTCCAGGTGGACATCACGTACACGGAGAACACCGGCGCCACCAAGGAGAACGGCATCTACTCCGTCACCTTCACCCTGCTCTCAGGTACACACAGAACATGCAGCGTGTTAGGAGGAACACGTTGCTTCTATGCTGATAGAATAATAAAACCAATCAGTAATAAAGGACATTCTTTCTTCAAGGGTCGGTTCTATGAATGTTTGTGCAGAAACAGAGAAACCAGCTGTCCTCCTGACATTTATGGAGACGGCTGAGTCTTTATTTCTGATGATTTGAACAAATGTTCTGGATCATTATCCAGCAGAACCGGACATGTTTTCACAGAGCTTGGCAAAAGATTAAATTCAACCAAGTTGTTTGTGTGTTTGGACAAAATGTGGGCCCACAGCATCATGGGACCTCCTTTTTTACACGGCAGACGTGTTTTTCAACTTTAAAATACTTGGTTTTATGGAACAACACAAAGTTCAGAATTATAAGGCGGGAAGAAAATATTTTCACAGAAATCTTGTTTCTAAAACATCTCAAGCTCAACCAGAGTGGACAGACGACATCAGGGAACACGGATTAGTTAAATTTAGGTTTTGACTTTGACTAGGCCGTTCTGAAGCCTCCAATGTATCCGCAGACGGATGCTCAGGGTGGCCGTCCTTCACGCAGTCTCAGATCTTGATTTGCCTTCCCTTTAACTCTGAACAGTCCCCCAGCATGATACTGCCACCACCATGTTTCACTGTGGTCATCTTGAGTTTTGGTTGAACTGAAAGTTTGGGTCAGATTCCAGACCGAATGCCTCTGCTCAATAGTTTGGGGACTTTTGAAGGTTGAGACTGATCTAATTTAGTGTATCAGAGAGAAAGAAAAACTTCTTGCATGGTTAAGGTTTTTTTTGTTTGGAGAACGAAATTTTAGAACCCAGTTATCATTTGAATTCTTCAGATGATGCCTGGGTTGATGGCATTGTAAGAAGGTTTGTGATTTTTTTTCTCCAGGTCCGAGTCGGCGATTCAAGCGCGTGGTGGAAACCATCCAGGCCCAGCTTCTCAGCTCCAACGACCAGCCAGGCATCCAGCCTCAGATATCCGGTAAGTCACTCACTTCCTGTCAGCCCTCCTCCTCCTCCGGACATGCCAGCACAGCCACAGCACACCTCGGCCTCGGAGCAGCCTGGCACACCGCTTTAAACGCACAACATCGCCCCGTGCATGCGCCCCCTCCCCCATGCCACGGGCTGCACACCAATATGCACAGCAGTGTTAGCCAGCCTCTGTGGAGACGTTTCTAGACCCACAGCAGCTGTAACCTCCCCTCCACAGACGGCGCTGGGCTCAGCAGAAACTCGCTCCGTCATCCTGATGGATGCTTCCAGCGAATAGTTCAGGATGGGTTCTGATTTTATAGGTTCTGCTTAAAAAGACGGACTGAAGGAAAGAGAGAGTGACTGTGTCCTCCAGGTGTCTCTCTGTTATCTTAATGTCCTCACTGTGTTTGTTTACTTGATAATGGTTCCCTCTTGTGGTAAAAAGCAGTAACTGCAGCCATAGTATCAGTGCCACACATGGGAACCGTTATCAGGACCGCCGTCCTTTACTGTCCACATCGCCGTGTCCCCGCCCCCCTCTGGCTTGCCTTTTCCATGCCGTCCTGCTTCCCGTCATCCACAGCTTGACTCCAGATCCTCCTGGATGGACTGAATCACCAGCATGCTCCACCGAAAACTCCAAACCACGCTCCCAGCGCCGGCTCAGACCGGACCTTTGTGTGTTTTCTGGTTTTGCTGTCATCTGGATCCGTTTCCGGTCTCAGTAACACGGAATCTGCATGCCCAACAGAACATACCTCACAGCTGTGTCCACATGTGACCCTGATGAACTTTCTCCGTCTGTCTGTCTGTCTGGTTTAGTTTTTTTAACATCAGCTGAAATGTCATACTATGAATGTTCAGCTTATTCCTCAGAAAGAGACCTTCGACCTGAAAATGGCCAATCAAGCACAATGTCATGTTATTATATCAAAACAATCAGATCAATCATCTCCAAACTTTTTCCACCTTCAATGTGACTTTTATACTGCAGAATGTAATAAAACAAACATCAACACTCATAGATCTGGTATGGAGAGAGTTTCGTTCCATTATTGTTGCAAAGAACATGTTTTGTTAATCGAGTAAAAAAAAAGGCAATCTGTAGAAATGAAACTAATAAAAAAAAAGGGTTGTAGAGGTTTTGGTTTATATATATTATATAAATATATAAGCTCTCTCTTGACCGATAGAACTGTTGCTCACATCCAGCAGACCAATAGAAATGCGTCTTGTGAAGCATAAACATATTTTTGTAAACTTTTCTTGTAATTTTTAAAAGAGAGAAAAAAATAACTACACTCCAAAGTTACAATAGTTTGGGAAAAAAGAAAGAACCTTTTGGTTTGTAACTCACGGAACAGAGTATTTGTAGAAAAACATCTAGAAATAAAATAAAAACTTTTATTTCTCTCTGCACCTTCAAATCCATAAGTACTATGCAAACATCTTTATGATTCAAAATGACCTTCACATCCTGCTCCTAGAAGGAAAATTTTAATTCTTAAAAATATAATTTTTTCTAAAAATATAAATTTAAAGAGCAAAATATGAGAACGCTTTTTTTAAACTAAAATATTTTTTGAAGCCTAATTCAAATTTTCATCCTATTTGTTTGCAACAATAATGGAATCAAATTCATTCCATATACGTTCTGGTTGAGAAAACATCCTCAGGCCTGTATCCATAATTTAAGGTATAAATGGCGCCTATGATTGACTGTAAAGGTTCCTGTAGAGGCAGAGGAACTGAGCCAAACATTCGGGTCTCTAGAAGGTGTGGTGCTGAAGTTGGTCGCCAGGTGCCCCGCCTGGTGTTTCTGACACTGTCCTCTGCTCTCAGATGGCTCTCAGCGCTCAGCTTCCAAAGCCACCAAACGTGGTAAGACCCGATCAGTGGGAGGTCCGGTTAAACGGGACCAGCTCTGGCTTTTAACACGTCACAGCAGGCTTCCTGGAGGCTTGTCACCAACACCACCAGCCTGAGCTAACGCGTGTGTCTGAGAGAGTGAGAGGGAGTTTCCATCTTAGCCGCTTATTTTAATTCAACGCAATTTATTTTTATTTAGACCAGAAAATAAAAAAATTTAAAAGGAAATAAACACTTTAGATAACCAAGTCATTTATGAACAACTAATCTAAAAGTATTTATGCAAAATAGTTATTTTTTAAAACCTGATAGTTAAAAAGGTTCTGTTAATATGCACTTAATAATTTGTCTGCAAAGACAATAATCTAAATAAATGTTTTTTTCTTCTAATCTTTTTGTTTTCTTCATACTTTGAAAATAAGACAGTAACCCAATTAAATTTATTATTTAGTTTAAAGTGGTACAAAGAGGAAAAAAAGTTTTTTACAGTATAAATTTGTGTTAATGAAAGAATAAAAAAAGAAATAATTCAATCTGTGGCTGAATTCAAATTCATGGGCTGTATCCTCCATGGACCCGTGAAAATAAGGAGAACGGAAGAGTTTTGGCTCTGAATTCAAACAGGTCTAACGTTCTGCGGCTTTCACTGCCGTACGCTCTGTCGCCTGGCAACCAAAAAGCAGGAAAAGGTGAATACCGGACTTTTTAATACTGCATCGTTTTAGATTTACATTTCTTTATTGTAAAGTGAACAAAGACTTCACTCATGAGTATACAGAGTGGAATAAAAGTAACGACCACCGGGTGCATCAACAAATAGAAGCTAATGTAATGATATAAAACAGGTAGAAAGATATAAGTAAATCTAAACAATGTATATATAAAAACTATATCTAAAAAATCCCTTATATTCAACAAAAAAAGTACTTAAGCAAATTGTGCAAAAAAGCAATTAAAAAAGTCCCCATACTACAGATATTACAGCCAAACCCAGTTACATAGTAACAGATAAAAACTGTTCAATAAATAAAACATTACCGCCACATATCTGACTCAATAACCATTTAAAAAAACTATTTTCATTAGTTTCAAACTGAACTATTCACATATTGTATTATATTAAACTGAACTTCCAATATTCACCACTGTCCCGGGCCAGGTACCTTTTTCCTCTGATCATGGAGCAGCCGGCTTGCTTGGTCTCAAAATGAATCATGGGATATCCAAGGCCGTAGGATACACCGGACCCGTCCTTCAAAACGGACAAAGAGAAGGATGCATTTATCGGCTGCAAAACGAGGAGTAATGGCATCCGAACAGACCTCCACGTCTTCGGCCTTCGAATCTGGCCTTCGGAGGAAGCATCCCATGAATTAGAATTCAGTCCATATTAAATTGAGAGCTCCAACAACTGATCCTGAACAAAATCCAGAAGGATCTGGAATGAAGAAAGAACTCAGTGGATCACAACCAGACAGCTGATCAGTGACAGGAAGCAGAGGAAGAGGCTTCAGTTTGTCCTGGAGTCTCACCAGTCCAGATTCAGCTGGTTCCAAAGAGAGGGAACCGGCATTACATCATAGGTCCAAAGTTAGTTTGTCCATCAGTGAACTTCATTAGATTCTAGGTCCAAAGATCAAAAAACCTGAGTCATCACACCTAAACCCAGAACCAGAACCTAGGCCAGAACTTTGACTGAATTTGAGGGGAATTAAAGCAGATCTGGGGTCCGTTTCAAGAACCAGTTTCTAGAAACTTTGAATTTATGAAGCCTAATGTCTGGAACTCTGAGTTTTCGGGTTTCATAAAAACTGCTGTGATTTAGTTTAATCAACTCTAAGTCGGTCCACTCAGAGCTAAATACGTGTTTAACAAGTATGAAAAGCCATTATCACTGAAGCCCTGATTCGACGGGTCACCATGGCGACAGGCAACAGGAAGTGCCTATTTCACCCCACTGGAACTAGACACTTTAATGTAGAATTGGAAAAAAAATGAGAATGTGTTTAAAAGAAAGAGAAACAGTGCTACAGCTACAAAGGAAAGGAAAATGGGGAAGGAGAAGATTGTTTGCTAGAGTTAATGCGTAGGTTTTTAATGAAGACCTGTATAGCAGGCCATTTTAACATTTATTAAAAGTACTCTTCTCTCTGTTGTTAAATTTTTAGATTATTAAAATAAGATTCTTCATGATCAAAGTCACATTCATGGCCAAAATAATACAAATGCTGACCAGTGACAATAGAAAAGAAACATTGTTCTAATAGATGGAACCTGTTCGTCGTCTCATAGGGTTCCTCCTCATGTTGATTCTGTCTACTTTTACACAGTAATGCTAAGTGGCTGTAGCCACTTCGGATGTTATCATCCCAATAAATGGTCATTATATGTAGCCTGGGTGCCATTCCGAACTTAGTTCGGAATGGCATTGCTCCATAGTAGCGCGAGTATGCTCGCCCACTCTCTGGCGATCCAATCAAATTGTCAGGGCGGGCTTTATACGATGATGGACAGATGATCAACAGTAACGTAATCAACCACGTGAACAAAGCGCGCTTGAGTGACAACAACAATGGCTGCCGCTGGAGAGTTGAGGTGTGTAGATTCTGCTATTAGGTCTGTTCTAGAAGATATCGACAACAAATTAATTTTAAAAGAGGAACAGAGAAACGCAATCAAGGCATTTGTTGAAAATAAAGATGTTTTTGGCGTCCTTCCTACGGGATTCGGCAAAAGTTTAATTTATCAGCTGGCTCCCTTGGTCGCTTAAAATACGTCACGCACTCCGTTGCTCTTATTGGTTGTAGGTCTATCCAATTGAGTGCAGAGGCATTTTTTTTCCTGGTTCGTTCGAAACACGCCCCATAATCACAGCTCTATGGAGCAGCATCAGACTCATATTCTGACTAGAATGGAGTAGGACTACGTCAGGCTACATTATTTGTGGTGATCAGTCTCATAGAATGGCTTCAGATTGTGCCAGTAGACTCAATTCAATTCAATTCAATACAGTTCAATTCAATTTATTTATATAGCGCCAAATTCACAACACATGTCATCTCAAGGCACTTTACAGTTCAACCAGATCATACAGTCAAATTGATACAAAGTTTTCTATCTAAGGAATACCTTAGTAGGTTGTTACCACCTTGAATCCTAACCCTAAGGTAATTCCTTTTCACTCAACGGAATTAATCTGTGTGTAATCTGAAAATAATTTCAGTAGTTCTTCATGTACTCAAAAAATAAAATGATCTGCATGCCTCTCATATTAAACAAACCAAAGACAAATACATTTTGTATCCTGACAACTGAGTTGTAGAATCCTCTCCTTGTAAATATTTAATTCTCTGTGAAGTAATGCCGATCATTCTTAAATAAAATCTTAATAACAGGAGGTAAAAATGCAGCTCCAGACTAGCTTTATATGTGGTGACATCACGAGTACGCTTCTGTTCCAGTTGACCATAATTATAGTGCTCCAGTTCTTCCAGAGTCCACACTTTACTGTGTCCTTCTCAAGATCATACTTGGTGAGAACAATAATCCGTTCTTACGTTCTTTGGAATCGAGAAACTGCCAGCTTTTCCCTAATTTCAGGTTTAGAAAACTTAGTTCTATTTCATCCCTACTGACCGCCAGAGGGCGGTGCTGAAAGCACTGAATGTTCCCTTCGGGCATGCGCAGTTCGAGTAATTATACCAACAGAGTCACACCTGTGACACCGGATGACCACTCAGAAGCTATATAGCCTGGTGTCATCCTTTGCTCTGCTCCTTTTTTCTTCTCGCAAGCGGTTCGCTAACTTCCCCGTTGTCTGAAGCCCCTGTCTCTTGACCGGAGTTGCGGTTATTCTCCGCCCTCCCAGGGCTGCAACGGGTCGATTCTGAAGATTACGGAAGGTAAGTGAGTTGTTTGCTGGTGATGGTAGCGTCCGCGCCCCCTCTCCCGGCTCACGACTTTAGCTTTTTACCTACAGCTTCGTGCTGTTTTGTTCCGAACTGGTGACGGCAGCGTTTTCGCCCCTACTCCCAGTGTGAATAACTTCACTGCCGAAGTTATATACGGCTAACGTAGTTAGCTTCTTTAGTTTGTTGGTGTTATACCTGGTGACGGCAGCGGTTTTCGGCCCCTCTCCCAGTATATTCCCTACTTTTGCATCCTTTTTTTCACCGGTCTGCACTGCTATAATTACTGACGGCCGCGGTTTTCGCCCCCTCTCCCAACCAAGTCTGGTCTACTTCGTTGCCGAAGTTGGAGACGGCTAACGTTGTTAGCCTTTTTTGGTTTGTTTGCAGCCTTCTTCATCGGTCTGCTTAATTATAAATGGTGACGGCAGCGTTTTCGCCCCCTCTCCCAATATCAACCTTTTTTTGCAGCCTTTTCGTTGGTCTGCTCTCTTAATTGGTGACGGCAGCGTTTATCGCTCCTACTCCCTACTTAAGTTGCCATACAGCTAACGTTGTTAGCTTTTTTTGTTTATTGCTTTTATACCTGGTGACGGTAGCGGTTCTCGCCCCCTCTCCCGGTATCGGCCGCCTTGTGTCCGCAGCCTCTCTTGTTTTATCCGCTATAATTGGTGACGGCAGCGTTGTTCGCTCCTACTTCCAACTTAAGTTTCCATACAGCTAACGTTGTTAGCTTTTTTGGTTTATTGGTTTTATACCTGGTGACGGTAGCGGTTCTCGCCCCCTCTCCCAGTATCGGCTGCCTTGTGCTCGCAGCCTCTTTCGTTTCTCTGCTGTAATTGGTGACGGCTGCGTTTGCGCCCCCTCTCCCGATTTTCGATAACTTTCTGTTCTTTAAGCCTTGTCGGCCTTCGACATGGATGGCTCTCACAGCTGCATAGATTGTGGGGCTGCCCTGCAGGCAGAGGATGGCCACGACCTGTGCCCTACCTGCCTTGGACATGAGCACCTTTTGGAGGCGCTGTCTGAGAACCCCTGTATGAACTGCAGCTTTATGCCCCTTGCAGTGAGGGTGGCCCGGTTGGCCCAGTTGTGCCCCCAGGAGGGCTCGGACCTTCCGCCCTCTGGGCAGGTGGTTCCCCCCAAGCGTTCTAAGCGCCGTGGTGGGACCACAGCATCTGTGCCCCTCCCCCGGAGGAAGCGGGCCAAACCTGACCAGGGCCTGTCCACAAGGGTGGAGCAGTTGTCAGCAGAGCTGGCAGAGATGAAGTCCTTGTTGCAGACACGGCAATCTGATCCCTCGCTCCCAGTGGTTGGGCTCTCTTCCCCACCAATGCCCGAGCTGGTTGTAGAGGATGACGTTATCTCTCTGGCTGCCTCCGCTTCTCATTTTAGAGATGAGGAGGAAGCAGGGTCCTCTCAAGCCTCTGAGGCTGGTTCATTTTCATCTCAGAGTGCGGTTGGAGAGGCCGGTGACGGTTCCATGCGGGAGGTCATGTCTATGGCCCTGAAGCAGCTGCAGCTGGAACTCCCACAAGGAGAGGCATCCAGCTCTGGCAGTGCTTTTTTCAGACGTGGAAGGGCTCCTACTCCTTTTTCTGTACCTCCATCAGAGGAGTACCTGAAGGAGTTACACGCCTGTTGGCGGGAACCGAGAGCGCTGTCGCGTCTCTCCTCGGATGGTCGTGTATTAGCTGCCATGCATGAGTCAGTGAAGGCCGGCCTGGACCGTATGCCAGCAATTGAACCAGCTGTTGCTTCACTGATTGTGTCACCAGATGAAGCCCTGCGTCCTGATGTCCGGTGCCCGCGGACTCAATGTCGGGTTACAGATGACCTCCTCTGTAAGGCGTACAATGCAGGAGCGCGTGCTGGCCGCCTTGGCAATTCCCTGGCGCACCTCATGTTTGCCCTGTCTGCATCTGTTCAGGACACTGGTGGTGCAAGTGCGGCGATTGGTTATAGTGACGCAGCGCTGCAGGCCTTCGCGCTGATGACCAGAGAGCTTGGACGGGTCATGTCTTTCCTTGTCCAAGCTCG